AAATTTCTTACAGTACAGTCATATACGTATTTGAACCAATGATGCTTACTCTCGGGAAAGTGCATATACTTCACTTACCAGGGAGCAAGCTCTGTGGAAGTCAATAGGAGAAACATTTGTTGAATGACACTATGAATATTATTTTTTGGAGAGAAAACAACAATAACCAATGAATCCTCCTTATATTTACTTGGAAGTGAATCCCGCTGTGTACAATGGCCCTAATTTCCAGGTAACAATGCATAGGATTGCATCTTAGCCAACACTTTCTACTCAAGAGGCCAGACGTCATTGTATTCTACTCCCACACGGGTCTTTCAAGCACCCAAAGCAGCCCTGGAGGACAAGGTGTGGCTGTTACATGGAACTAACACAACATTAAACATGTATTTTAATTTAATGTGCACTTAAAATGCAAATGGCAGCTGCACAGAGGGGAGATTTCCCAATGCAAATAGCAGCTCCGGAGAGGCAATTTCTTCCAGGACCACAGCAGGGAAGGGAATAGCTAAACTTCATCTCCCTGCCAGCTGCAACCTTGATCATCATCATCAGTTCCCCAGTGGCTGCCATTTGTATTTTTAAAAATACGCACAGTAAATGCAAAAGACACTTTTAACGTAGCAATCCAGTTTGGGAGATACAACGTGAAAATACTCTCGATGGCACACTTGGGAGTTAGCAAATGTGTTCTTGAAATATCACGCTCAGGATATTTGTTTCCAGAGTTTGAAATCATCCCCTCGCAAAGCGCTGACGAATGCTGACAGACTACCACAAATGCCCACCATCTGGCAAGAGCGATGCACAGGTGGAAAGCAGATTTCCTCAACACATCCTCTGCTTGGAAAGGAGCTGCACAAGTAAAAAAAAGCACGCTGTGTGGTACAGGGTATGTATCTGGGTCACTTAGAAGTGCACACACAGATCCCAGCACAAATCTGGGACCATGTAAAAAGGTAAAGGGACCCGACTGTTAGGTCCAGTTGCGGACGACTCTGGGGTTGCGGTGCTCATCTCGCTTTACTGGCCGAGGGAGCTGGCGTTTGTCCACAGACAGCTTCTGGGTCATGTGGCCAGTCGTCTTGTCTAGCAGTTTGAATCCCCACAACAGGGTGAGCTCCTGTTGCTCAGTCCCTGCTCCTGCCAACCTAGCAGTTCGAAAGCACGTCAAAGTGCAAGTAGATAAATAGGTACCACTCCGGCGGGAATGTAAACGCCGTTTCCGTGTGCTGCTCTGATTCGCCAGAAGCGGCTTAGTCATACTGGCCACATGACCCGGAAGCTGCACGCCGGCTCCCTCGGCCAATAAAGCAAGATGAGCGACGCAACCCCAGAGTCGGCCACGACTGGACCTAATGGTCAGGGGTCCCTTTACCTTTTAAAGCCATCCAAGTTGGCGGCCATCACTACAACTTGAGAGTGAGCTCCATATCTTTACATGTGGAGCGGGGACGAGCTCAGACTAGCAGTGGCTCTCCAGCCTTTCCCACCATTGGCTTCCCAATGTCCTTTGAACTGGGAAGGCCAGCGACTGAACTGGGACCCACTGCATAAAAAGCATGGGCTCTACCGCTGAGTTATGGTGTGCATCCCCCTAGCCCAGAATTCACAAGGATCCTGTGATTCTTCTGCAGCATTCGTCCACAGTCTGTTGTTCCATGATGGAATTCAAAGCAACTTACTGAGCAACTTGTTAGCATCGAGGGTGCAATTCAAGCTGTGCTCCTCATCCCTTCCCTATCTCACCCTTCTTTTCCCTCACTGCAGCATAGCGATGCTCTCTATAAACATGTTCCTCCCATGTTTGTTTATCTCAATGTGTAAACTGACTTTGGGGCCCACACAGGCCCTGAAGGCCATACAGATTGCCCGTGTTTTAGATTCCTGTTTCTCTACCCACACACAGATGGCTTTGGGAAAGGCCCCTTCATCCATTTTCCCATCACACTGTGGCCTTGTTTGCAGGTGATGCTAGGGGAAAACTGCAGGCATACAGTCTCTGGGAGAGCAGCTTGCAGCTGCTTTGCTCTGCCCTGGTTATTTTGGTGCTGTGCTGTGCTGAGCCAAGCCATGGATTGGCCTAGCCTGTCATCCAAACCTGGGCTGGTGGAAGAAGTGGCTCTCCAGGTGGGAAAGAGCCATGACACTAGCATCCAGACAGGTGGGTCGCTATTGCTTACTGGCACAGAGAGCAGCAAGGAAATGGGATGGTTGGTGCAGCACAAATGCACCAGCAGAGCCAACCCAGTGCTCCTGCCAGTGCCGCTGCACTGCGCCGACCTCCCTCCTGATAAGCAACATCAACTCTTCTGCCAGAAAGCCAGCATAGCAACTCCACTCCACTTAGCAAGCCAATTCTAGCTGATGGGTTAACTCTCTCCAGACTAATTACACACTACAGTATAGCCAAGGTATGCCCTATGGTTAACAGCTTGTGGTTTGTCCAGGTTGCACTAAACCATGGCTTAGCACACAGTTAGAAACAGGCCAGGAGCTCCTAGGGTTAACCTTCGCCCCTTCTTTGGTATATTTCGGGATATACGGTATTTTAAAGCCTCTTCTCCTTTATCAAAAATAATTTATCTGGAATAACATCAATAGTGTTGTTCTCTCTTTACTCCTTTTTTTTTTAATCCACAGATAAAAAAAATATCCTTTTAAATATTATTTTTGCAATCTTCCTGGTTGCCTTTACAAAGTAGTGGAGAACCTGTACTGCACAAAGAATTCTTTCTATTTAATAATACTGATTTGAGCCTTCTGGTGTTCATGTAAGGAAGACTGGACAATTTATGCAAAAGTGACAGTTATCAGCAGACTGAAGATAACCCCGAAATGCATATGAGAAAATCTGCAAGGGAGGGAAACAAATCCATAACAACTGTAGCATAGACTTTTGAGAGACAGGAGGTTGCAGGGTGGGAAGGAAAACATCCCTGCCAGCTGGGTGGGGAGTGAGAACAGAATAGAGTGTCTGGAACAGGAAGACAGGGACACAAACATATATATACACACACATATAAAGTGTAAAATAAAACCATTGTCTGGATAGGCCACTTCCTGTTTCACTCTGAGAAGCTATTTTTAAGATATTCCCAGGAGCAGAAGGAGTTGCCCATCGACATCAACAAGGGAAATTAAAGAATTGAACAAGCTTGTCCACCATCACCCCACTCCCCCAAACAGCAACGGCGGTTGGCGGGTGGGGGAAAGGAAACCCCACTCAAAAAAGAAGTCTAGTGAGAACTGAACAACTCAAGCGGGTATGGAATGCTGGCTTGACTGCTGGGAGGCAGGGCAAGGAAATAACATGAGAGGAAGGGGAATGGAGTAGAGTGGAGCCACTGGAGACATCAAGGTGAACACGCCACACCTCAAGATTTTGTTGCAGCACCTCAACTTATATTGGCGGTAAAGTCAAATGTACTGTTTCCGTTGACTTGCTTCCAAAGAGGTTAAACGCCAATGGGCTACACTGCGGCATTTGATTTGTTCCAGGGCTCACTCCCAAATACTTAAGCCCAGAATTAATTTTCAGTGGTACAACTCAGCCAAATCAAAGTGTCCCCTAAGCATGCACTAAGCAGCAGCATCTAGTCCTAGTCCTCACACACCTGAGACCCCCTAGCAGGGAAAGAGGCCTTCGCTTGCACATCACATCCCAGCAGGGCCTACCAGCGCTGATGCCCACCTGAGCTGCGGCCGTTGTAAGGCCATGATTTTCATGTTCCCACAATGCCCCAGAGGCACATTACACAAGGACGTGAAAATGGAAGGTGACTCACAAGCAGCCCATCACAGATGCTGCCTCTTGCTTGCTCCTTTTGAACCCGCCATATGAATGGCCCTGCAGGCAACGGAGGGGGCTCGCAGGAGGGCATTTTCTCAGGGGGTCCTTCACTCCCGGTTTCAACTTTGCACACCTGCTCAAGTTTACGTGTGCAGAAGAATTAAAAGAAGCATGAAGAGATTCATGAAGAGTTGATTCAAGTCTGGCCCTAGGGGGATGAGCCCTGTTTTCTGTGCCAAGGTTGAAGTATCAAAGATATTGCTCTGAGAACCAGGGCAGTGTAGCAGTCAGCATGTCAGACTTGGCCCCGAGAAACCCGGGTTCAAATTCCCCCTCAGCCGTGAAGCTCACTGGGTGACCTGGGGCCAGTTATACCATTGTAGCCTAACCTATCACATGGGGTTGTAGCTTGGACAAAATTGGGAGGTGTTTGAATGAGACTGGGTGGTGGAAGAATGATGCACACTACCTTGAGCTCCTTGAAGGAAAGGAAGAAAAATAAATGATAAAGGTAATCTCCTCTGAGCGGATGCAAACTCCTTCACCAACAATGGTCACTTTCGTGTATTTTTATTTATTTTTTTAAAAAAATTGAGGTTATATCCCACCTTCTTCCCCATGGAGCTCAGGATTGCTTGCATAGTTCTCCCCCTCCTCATTTCATCCCCTCCTCATTTCATCCCCACAACAACCCTGTGAGGTAGGTCAGGCTGAGAGTGACTTCACTTCATGGCGGAGTGGGGATTCGAATTCCTGGTCTCCAAAGTCCTAGTCCATGAAACACACATGGATTTGTGTGAGGTAATTTCCATGTAGGAAATAGCACAAAACTCTACACCGGACGAGAGTGCTCAGATGTACTGTTTCATCTTTGTATATCTTAACAGACCCACCTGTATTTCTCAACACTGGACTACACACAGAAACTGCCTTATACCAAGTCAAAGTTTTGGCCCCACTTAGGTCAGTACTGCCTGCTCGGACTGGCAGCAACTCTCTGGGGTTTCGAGCTGAAGTGGGGGGGGGGTCCTCTTCTCCCAGGCCCCGTCCTTCTCTCCACCACTGATCTTGCCCGTCCCAGCCGCCAGGCCTAGCGTTGCATTGCCCCTGCCTCTTTTGAGTCGCCTCCCTGCACTCAAGAGCAGCCCCCAAGCCTTCACTCTGCCCGCTTCGCCCCCCCCCCAAGCTATTTCCTCCCCAGACTTACTTGAGGAAGTATCTCTGGCCCGTGTGCGTGAGTGCCATCTCCCAGCCGGGAGGCAGCGGCAGCTCGTCCGTCACGTCGTAGGATTGCTGGCGGAGGTGGGCATGTTGCTGGGCCTGGCTCGGGGTGGCCCCGGCCCCGGCGCCCAGCTGCAGGGAGGCGGGCGACGAGTGCGAGCGGACGTGGTGGGCTCCGACGGCGGCGCTGCTGAGCCGCGGCGGGTGGCTGCCGGAGTCGGTGCTGGACTGCCGGGAGTGGGAACCCGAGTCGGGCTCCTTGAAGAAGGACTCCGGCAGGATCTTTTTCCTCCACGAGCTGGGCTTGGGGTTCATGACCGAGTTGAAGAGAGCCTCCAGGTCGGTGTCCAGATCCTGCGTGACATGGATCACCTGCTGCCCCGGCGGGGGAGGGACGCCAGCAGGGTTCATTCTCGCCACCTTTTCCCGAACTTTTCTTTCCCGAACTTGGGGCGGGGAAGTCGAGTCTCTGGAGCAGATCTCTGGGGTTTCGCCCTCTTAAATCGCCAGTTTCCAACCCCCGTCGCACAAAATAAGTATTTTGCAGTGAGGGTCCAAAAGAGACCCGAAAGTCATCCGAGACACGAGATGCAAATAATGATGAAGATGATAAGCTTCTTCAAACCCTTCCAAAGCTAAACTTATCCGAGCGCCCTTTTTTTTCCCCTTTCCCCTTCTCCCCAGAGGCCCCGGCGGCTCTAAGGCAGCCGTCCCCTCCCTCCCAAAACTTTTTATCTCGCAGGATCTTCCAGAGTACACATGAAGCACGTCCAAGTCAGGCCCCGGCGGAAAGTTATGCAACTTTTTCTTTTCTTTGCTGTCCCTCCCCGCTGCAACTGCAGAGATTTGTTACAATTCCCTCTTAAGAAAGCAGCTCCTTTAAAGGACTAGTTGGTGTGTGTGTTGGGGAGGTGGGGGTAGATCTGCAGTCGCGGCTGTCACGGGAGGGAGGAAAGGAGGGCTCAGCCTCGCCGCCCGGAATTCCAGAGGAGGCCTGAGGCTCGAGTGAAAGCTTCCGAGGGGCTTGAACGTTCTGATTCGGAACGCTGGCGCTCCCGCGAACGTTCCGATTTCGAACGCCGGGGTTTCCAGAGGGGTCTCGCCAGCGTTCGGTTCCCAGGCCTGACCGAAGATTCCTCCCTTTCCCTGGCCGAGCGCGCAAAAAAAAAAGTGTCTGATTTTTCTTAAAGGGTGGGCAGAAAAGCGATCTTTTGCGGGGGAGAAAGAGGGGAAGGGGGTCCCCTTTCCCGTTCACATACCCATGGTCCGGATCTTGAAGAGCTGAGTACTTCCCGCCGTGGTAGTGGCGGCAGCGGCGGCTGCTTTCGGACTATCCCAAACAAAGTTACCCAAAACTCTCAGGGCGGCGCAGAAAGTTTGGCAGCTGCATTATTCATGAGCTCAGTGTCTGGGACCAGCCCGATTACACGGTACACCCACTGAGAGTCCTCCCACGGCTCAGCTGAGAGCCGGACCCTGCCGGATTTTTTTTCCCCCAGCTGGGCTAGAGGAGCCTCCTGGGGGTGGGTTTAGGGAGTTTTACGGGGATCTTGGACGGAAATCCAGCGGGGTTATGACTAATACATCGGGCGAAGGAAGCGTGCCACCGCTTCCTGCGGGACTCTCCCTAATAAGGAATCGTACAGGGGGGGGGGAGGGGGGTACCGTGCAGAAAACCAGTCCGTCCCTGTCGCTCGTTTGGGGGGCGGCCTCGCCTTTATCAGACTGGCCGAAACTACCATTAAATACTTCCCTGGAGCCACTTGGTCGCTTTTTCCTCAGATATTCAGTGGGGCTTTCATATGCAAAAAGGAGTTTGAGCACAGCTCAGGGTTAGGCTTTGACAGATCCTCCACTGAGAGTCGCATCGCAATCGGCATGGTGGGAATGTGTCCGTCTCCCCACCCCCCCACCCCCGTGCAGGTTCCCGCAGGTGCTTGGTGAGTGTAAGAGGAAAAGATATGTGGAGGGTTTCTATAGCTCGTCAGTGCTGATGCTTCGATTGGGAGCCTCTCCCCTTCTTTCCCCTGCCCATTGCAAAGATACTGCCGTGCTTAATCAGTCCATTGGATTTCATCTACTAAAACTGTAACCCAAACCCCATTTACCTGGGAGTAAACGCCATTGAATTAAATAGGGCATTGAATGGTTAAGATTGTGCCTTTTAAAAACTGCAATGGTAAGCACTCTCTCAAGTCCAAAATAGCTGTGTTGGCCCATGAAACATATTCTTTTATTTATTTGACTCAAGTCTCTCATGTTACCTGTGGTGCTGGTCTTAACACAAAGAGCAAAGTCATACAACCCACAATACACAATATAACGCAGTACAGCTTTTGCTTATTTTCCTCTAGAGCTCTTGCATATTACAGTGGTACCTCGGGTTACAGACGCTTCAGGTTACAGACGCTTCAGGTTACAGACTCCACTAACCCAGAAATAGTACCTCGGGTTAAGAACTTTGCTTCAGGATGAGAACAGAAATCGTGCTCCGGCGGCGCAGCAGCAGCAGGAGGCCCCATTAGCTAAAGTGGTGCTTCAGGTTAAGAACAGTTTCAGGTTAAGAACGGACCTCCGGAACGAATCAAGTACGTAACCCGAGGTACCACTGTACTTATTAAGTTGATGTTCAATTGACACGTCTTTCCTGTTCATGACAGAAAGGAAGTCAGAAATGAAACCTGTCATCCACTTTGGTAACGAATGGGACCTGGCTTGGGAAATAAAATGCAACAATGGCATACAGGCCTTTTCAAAACAGCGAAGTATGCTAACCAAGGAGAATTCTGAGAAAGCCATGCGTGGCAAAAAAGCTCTGGGACCTGCCAAAGATAGCTTTCTGCAGGGATCAAGCATTGTGTAAGCAGCTCAGATTTTAACACCTCTATAGAGAATTTGCTTTTGGTATGTCGTTCCCTATATCCAGTTTTCGTTTTGTTCAGGTTGTGCAGTAGCTGGTAGCTGCTTCAGTATTCACAACTGGGATGTTCTCATGCGCTACCCCTGCTTGTACCGTACCTGGATATTTTCTTTCTCTTTTGAAGCAGACGGATTGGGTACTACAGTGGTACCTTGGGTTACAGACACTTCGGGTTACACACTCAACTAACTAGGAAGTGATTGCTCCAGGTTAAGAACTTTGCCCCAGGATAAGAACAGAAATCACCCGCCAGCGGCGCAGCAGCAGCAGGAGGCCCCATTAGCAAAAGCGTGCCTCAGGTTAAGAACCATTTCAGGTTAAGAATGGACCTCCGGAACGATTTTAGTTCTTAACCTGAGGTACCACTGTACTTGCACAACCTCCAATGATCTCTTGAATCTTCAATATGGGGCTGAGGGTTGCTAGCTGCCTTCTGCTTTTTTAAGTACAGTGGTACCTCGGGTTACATACACTTCAGGTTACAGATGCTTCAGGTTACAGACTCCACTAACCCAGAAATAGTACCTCGGGTTAAGAATTTTGCTTCAGGATGAGAACAGCAATCGTGCTCCGGCGGCACGGCAGCAGCGGGAGGCCCCATTAGCTAAAGTGGTGCTTCAGGTTAAGAACAGTTTCAGGTTAAGAACGGACCTTCGGAACAAATTAAGTACTTAACCCAAGGTACCATTGTAGTTGAGGGTATCCATAGCTAACAAATAGAAACTGCACTGATTCTTTGCTTTCTGTCCCGAGCAATGTTGCATAGAAAAACCTTGTGGCCTGCCTTCAGCCAATCAAGAGTACAGTGGTACCTCGGGATGCGAACAGGATCCATTCCGGAGCCCCGTTCGCATCCAGAAGCAAACATAACTAGCGACGGCACGTCTGCACACGCACGCGTCGCTTTTCGCTGGTTTTGCACATGACGTCATTTTGAGCATTTGCGCATGCGGCAAAACCTGGAAGTAACGCACTCCGTTACTTCCGGGTTGCCTTGGAGCACAACTCTAACGCGCTCAACATGAAGCATATTCAACCCGAGGTATGACTGTAGAACTAAGTTTGCTCCCCAAGAAAATGGGTATTACTACCCATTTCCAGAGAACTTTGTCAACCCTTCTGGTTTCTATCCTTCTGGGTTCAGGCACTGTTTTGGGATAGAACCAGCCTTAGCCACCCTGATAGAAGGCCTTCAGGAGTGGGGTGTGTATGACCTTGTAGCTCTTACTTGATCTCTCGGGAATGTTTAATACCACTGACCATGCGGGGCCAGATTAAGACCTTTAGAGGCCGTAAGCACTTAAAAGATTTTGGTGCCCCCATATATATCTAATTCACAATATAAACAATAATAAACCGTAAAATTAACTTTTGTTTTTAGAAATTAAACAAAACCTATAGTAAGATGGGAAATGATCTTTATTTTGTGTATACCTCCACTTTATTTAATTTGGGGGGGGATTCTAATTTGTCTAAATGCATAGTCTTTGATCAGATCCTCAAAACAAATATTATGTAACACATCTGCTTCTATACATAATACGAGTTAAGGCACCCAGCCTGCCTTGTTGCATAGTTGTTCTGCTGTGGTTTTCAATATACCTCAGCTGAGAAAATGAATGCTCTGCTGAGCAATTTGTAATTATTAATGTTAAAAAAAATGAAAGCAAATTTCTACATTTTGTTGTGTTCCCAACATCAAGGCATATCATTAATCTCTATTATTACTATTTTTAGTATTACTATCTTAGTATTATTTTTATTATTACATATATATGTATGCAATTTTTCCATTTATTATGGGAACCTTTATTTGTGGAACCTGGTTTAGCTGCGCCATACGGTCCATGGTAAATCAGGCAATGGAAAACTTCTGTACCTTCCCTAGATGCCCTAAGCACATGCTTATTTTGCTTAATGGTTAATCCAGCCCTGTGACCATAGTATCCTCCTGAACAATCTGTGCAAATTGGTGGCACTTTTTTTTTTAAGTGCTTTGATTCGTAACAATGCTTTTCCCTGTACATGTGAGCAGTCCCAGTTGCCTTGCCCATGCGCTTCCATGAATAACGTGGTGTTTGTACCATAGATAAAGCTAGCAAATCCCACACCGCAATATTTTTCGGTATAGTGATATTTTTTCAGGTTTCCTGTTGCAATGTTATGTTATCCAAGGGCATCCTTCTCAAGTCAGCTCACGCACAGGAGGTGACACCCTGTATGAACCAAACATGGTTGCTTATTTCAAGCAGAACAACAATTTTGACCATAAGTTGGTGCTATTTCCTTTTGCATAGTAACATCAGCCAGCACTTAGGGGATGGAGAATTTCTCCTCTGTATGAGTAGCGGCTGTCCCCAAAATAAAAAAAGTAATTACAAGAAATTAGCCTGAATACAAATACATATAAAATATTACTGTATATGTTTCTTTATTCAGATCAGAAAAGATAAGAAGGAAAAATGTTTGGTCATTATACCAATAAGCTGTACAGCACATTATGCAAAAGGCAGCTGTACATAAAATTAGAAAAGCTCACATGTTCAACTAATATTGATGTCTGGTTAGATTATGATGATTATTCTAATTTGCATCTGACATTATTACTAGATTAGCACCCAAGCAAATTCAGCCCTTAAATGCAGTCTCAAGAACTTGGCCGAGGAAAAGTTTTTGACTGGTCCAGACACACTGTTGTTTGGCGACACTGGTTTCCATAAGTTTACTGAGATGGCAAATACTACTTGATGTTACGCACTATTCGTCTACAATGATTTGTTTTCATTTCTCCCAAAGCTTGTTCCAGTTGCTGAATCAGGTGAAGCAACGTCGCAGGGTCGGTCTGTAATATTTGAGTGGTTTGGTTTCCATTCTGAGTAAGGTGGAGCTTCAGAGTCACAACAGGCTTAATTTGCTGTCTCAGACTTCTGCTAGCAAGCTATGTAAATAGTGAGGTGAGGAAAAGAAAACTCAGTAAGATTTAAAATGAAGAGATGTGCTAAGAATAGCAATTAACAAAAGCATTCTAATTCTCAGCATTCATAATTCAACAGGGAAATATAGATATATTTTACAGTGTGTACCTACTACATTATGATATCCACCCCTTGATTCAGAAGGACAATTGGATATACTGGGTTAAGAACTAAAATAAGAACCAAACACTATTATCTTCATTGTTATAATTTTGGCCTTTTAAAGTAAAACAAAACCCATGAACAATCAAATGTATCATAAAAATAAATTTAAAATACCAACAATTTTGATTCCTAACTCACCTTTACTTTAACAGTTGTGGCCTAGTTTTGGAGTTCCCCAAGTGTAAGGGAAATACTGGAGAAATAAATCAGGGTCTTATATTCCTATAAACATTACATGAGATAATGTTTCAACTGAGCCACTTTTGCAAAGTCAAATTCTTAAGTGCCAAGGCAGCCAGGTAAATAGAACTTCCATAACAGCTGGTGGCAAAGCACTGAACCTAACTGCTTAAAAGACACTTCTGTGTCTAGAAGAAAATCAGTGCTAGGTTGTAGACCCAAGGTACAGTGGTGAAGAAATCCCTTTTGCCCAAGCTAATGAAATTTATAAACTGAGATCTAGAGATCTCTGTTTAATGCTACTAGTTGCATGCATTTTCTAATCCCAACGGCAGAAGATGGGGTAGTAAATAGCCAAAGGTGTTAAATTTTTTATAAACAAATTTTAGCCAAAAGCAGCATATTTATCAAGCAAAGCCAGGAGCAGCCGAAATTGCTGAAGGTAAATAAGCTTTGCCTACATTGAAGACTTCGTTCTATATTGTAATGTTTCTAGAAATATAGGATTCTGATTTACTTCCCCAGTACTTTCCTTATACTTGGGGAATTCAGATTAATTTTATGTTTCAATTTTCATGGCTGACTCCAACCCCATGATTACTGAAAATATAGCCAAGTTCCTTACTGTAGCCATCAAAACTAGGCCACAAAGGGAGGATGAATTTTGAGTCAAATTGCCTGCATTTTTAAAATATTACTTTTTGATTGTTCATGGATTTTGTAATACTCTTATTTTAAAAGGCACAACTGGTGTACATGCAAATAGTCTCCCACCCCACTGCAGCTGTCTTGATAACCCTATGCGCTGTATCTGAAGTTTATGGTCTGTAGACCAAATAAACTAAACTGGGGAGGGGGGGGGGAAATTCCAGGAACTAGTGTTATTTTTTGAGCTTGACTAACCACATGAAATGCTCCCTATTAGGCCTCTTCTGGTGTGGGAGGAACAAGATGAAATGGATAAACATTTCAAAAACAGATCAGTGCCTTTGGTTGGAAATTTCTGGCTTAAGACTAAACTCAGCCCAGGGAAGGTTGGAACACGGATCACTCCCCTCACCTGCCTGGCCAGCTACAGTTGCCACAGGTTCATAATAGGCTGCATACTAGCATGGAGTCAGTAACATAAAGGAGGTGGGAAGGAGGATATGGAAGATGAGAAGATCTGAGGAAGATCCCAAGTCCTTTCATAGGGCTGGGGGACTTGTTTGAGAGTACCTACATATGCAGGTGGGAGCCTTCTTGCTTTTACTGACCTTATGTAAGATATTCTGGAAGCTTTTCAGCTAAAGAGCAGGGTAAAATGCTTTAGGTGATAGTGAACATTTAAGGGGGGGTGTACACCTATGTGCTTGTACATGTATGCGAGTCACCCTTGCACTCAGCTCACAAATAACTTTCCACACAATTTGTTTGCTGATTTTTATTATACAGACTAGTTTGCATACTTGACCTCTTACTGGCTCTGTTAAAGTCGACATTTTCCCCAGTTTCTTAATTCTGTTTTAATTTTTTTTTGTTAAGCTACATTTTCAATAGCTTGTTAAATGTCCTCTGATTTAATTTTTCATTTTTTTAATGGCAAATTTTAGCAACAAGCTGCTGCTTTCAAAATCAATGTTCCAGTTCCATAAAACGTCAATACAATTGTCTGTAACCAGACAGAACACTGGCGTACTGTCTGAGCTAGTTCTGATACAGAGATGGGAAATTCTGTCTTAATATTAAAGTACAGCTTCAAAGTACATGGAAGCCTAAATAGGCTGCGTTGTGCTGGTAAATCACTGGGCAACTAACTGTGCAGGTCGCTTTCTACTGTTCTATCATGAACAACTGTATGCAAAAATTTGTATGAATAATACTACTGCTACCACTGTAATTTTGAAACCATTGCCTTTAGCAGTTTGTGTCATGCCAAATGTAAACAGCACTATAAAGATTTTCACCCTTACCTGCACATCTAGTCTCCATTCAAGACTGTGATAACTAGGCAGCTTTGGTGCTAGTTCAGTAAGAATACTTCTGATCTCCTTCCTATTGTCAAGATACAGCTGAAGCAATACGGCATTCAGTTCTTCAGAGAATCCTAGTACAAGTATAGAGTCTTGGAAATCTATCTCTGATATCTAAAAATTAAAAATAGAATGTTTGAGTTCCTGATTGCTTCTATTACTGTTTTACTTACGAACATAGGAAACTCCCATATAGTGAGTTGCAGCATTGGTCCATCTGCCTCCAGATTGCCTACACTGTCTGGCAGCAGCTCACCAGGGTTCAGGCAGTAGTAGCCTTTTCCCAGCCCTGCTTGGAAATGCCTGGGATTAAGCCTGCATGCAAAACAGATGCTCTGCCACTGAGCGATGGCCCTTCCTCTGCTCACAGTCTTTGTAAATTTGTGTAAGGATTGCATTTCCAACTGTGAAATATGTGTGAAAGGAAATCATTTAGTAAGAATTGATTGTCTGCAGTCTATTAATACCAAATAGAAAAAGGAAGCAGAGGCCAACATAGAAAGTAATTCACAACATTCATAATGCAACACCATTTACAGAAATATTGGGCGGTATCCAATTAAAGCATACTCTAAGGTTATTTATGTCCACTGATTTGAATGCAGGGTGGATAAAAATCAATGAGTTTTTTTAAAAAAATGTATTTCTAATAGTATAACCAAATCAGTAATTTTTGAAATAACTGTAAAAACTACTCTGAAAATTTATCATTCCAAAAATGAAACCTTCATCTGGTTGTAAATATTAAGTTTATACCAGCAAGAATGAGTCTTTCTGTAAAAAAATGTTTTAAATCAAGTCTTACTGACTAGTGATTTAAATCAATTTGATTTAAATCAAATCCACCCTGTTTGAACGGCTCTATTCTATATCTAACACTGGATATTACCCATAATTTACCATGTGTACATGCCCTCCTATTCCAAATGTGTATATGGTGCATCTCATTTATGACATCCATCGTCAGATGATCATTTTGATACACTGGGCAGAAACTAGAATAGAAACTAAACCTAATCATACAGAAGAAACCGACTGAATTTTTCAGATTTAATCCTCTTAATATATGTAAGATTTTATAAAATGGCTTTTATCTTTTTGAAAGCTGATATCCAAAGTAGCACTAAGTCTTGGTCCTGTCAGTGTTTCTTTCTCTTACCGCCTCCACCCCACATCGGTAGAAATCAGCAGGTGAAGTTTTCACAATGTGGAGATAAGCATTAACGCCTGCTGATAAGCAGCAGAAGGGGCTGATATAAAAGAAGTTGGCAACACTATATGGAGGATGCAGCAAAATATGAGTTTGCACTAATTTTCCTGAGCTTTCAACTGTGACCTTTATTTACACACAGCTGTCGCTGCCCCCAACCCACATATCCAAGAAAGTAAGAAGTTCAAAGCATCCGCCTAGCTCACCAAGAGCACTGTGAGTTACACTTACCATGAGTTTTGAGCTCTCAGTGAGAAGGTATGTTAATCCTTCTACACCATGCTGAATTGTTTCACTACTAACATTAAGTTTTCCTGAAAAACAGAATGAGAAAACATCAAACAGGGATCTGATCCAATACAATATACGTGCAAATAAATCTCAAATAAAAATAGGTTGCAAATCGAAGCACACTTAGTCTGCATATCCTTGTACTATATATGGTATATAATAATGGAAAGTAGAGGCAAAAAGAGACCTCTAGCTTAGAATATTCCACTTGTGTACATGACGATTATGGGAGATCAGAGGCCTTAGTAAATAGTGCTTGTATTCTAGACTTAACTAATCTTTGATGCATTTTGTCCTACAGCTGCTGTCTCTTCAGAATCTATTGGGGGGGAAATGTAAACAAGCATCATCTTAACAAATATTTGAGAAAAACACTATAGACCCAGGACCAACCTATATGTTCAGAAAAGTAAGTGACACAGTGCTCCAAGGACTATGCCACTTAAGAATGCCACTTGGAGACAGCATAATTCCACGTTTCCCTCTGTCAAAATTCCACACCTGTGGAAACTTGTGTCTGGGAGAAGGAGTCTAAAAGAAAAAAAAATTCACATAGAAGCATTCAAACATGCCACTATTCCTCCTCTACATTCTCATGGCAAACAGTGCTAAGACAGTACCATTTGTTTTCTAAAGGCACAGATCAACTTGTACATCAGCAACCTGCAAAGTGTTGCATCTTCACCAATGAAAGCTCAGTTCATTTCAGTTGAGCTTACACAGGTACTACAGCCTGACAAATCTGCAGGGAATTATTTCAGTTTTGTTGCTGCTTTGTAATAACTGGAGGAAGCTGTGGGAAAATGATTGCTTGTACATGAGAGCATGAGCAAAGTTCTTATTGTTACAGGGTGATTTCATAGCTAGAAGCATCCTTGGAGCATGAACAGCGCGTGAACAGCTCGTGCTGTCCCATATGATTGGCTAACGTAGCATGGCCTGATCGCTCGCATGGTCTAGTACGAAGGTCTTTATCTGCTGGCTAGAACAAATTGCTTGGCTTGTATTTTTGTATCTTTCTGATTACACACAATAAAAGCTGTGCTGCATTAGCCCTAGGAGCAGCCATATTTCGGAACCTATCATGGTGTGAGACTGATTTTCCTCTGAATGCCGAGCTGTAACTCGACAGGAAGCTACAGGTGTCATCATGTTCCATTCAAATCAAAGATGATGATTTATTTGACTCCAAAAAATGCTTTATCAGTTAGCCCTCAACAAGGCAAATTGCTTTCTGAAGTGCTTCTCACCTGCCTCATTTTAACATCACTCCAGCAAGGGATTTTGACTGCCCATCTGTCAACCATGAGACATCATAATGACACAGTGTAATTGACAGGTGGGTGGCCCTGCTCACCTTTCAAATTTGGTCACTGAGGCTGATGCTGATAAGGATCTGGCCCATGGAGCCCAAAAAAATTCCCATCCCTGCTTTAAACAAACCACAATGTCAGGCATGGCTAAAGCAGTAAGCTATTCCCCTCCTGGTTTATATACATGCTCTTACCATGGGAGGAGCGAAGCAAGTGTCACTAGGAGCAACGCACACAGTTTGGTTAACTGAGTCAAGTACCTTAGTTTACCTTTGTGAAAACACAGCTATTCTTGGTCCAATTTTTGCTGGACCAACATTGTTATCTCTGAATTGGACTGATGTCTAGCAGTGTATTGATTCAAGGCCCTTGGAAAATACTGCCCTTCAACCACACTTCTCAAATTCTTACTTGCTGCTCCTTCGTAGATTTTTGGGTTTGTGCCTTTTCTTAGGAACTCTAGCGCAATACGGCCAAATTCATTGACAACTGAAAAGAAAGAAGATTTGTTTGCAGAATTCATTGACAACTGAAAAGAAAAAAAGATTTGTTTGCAGAACCAGGAAACTAGATGATGGCTTGGTGGTAGAAAACCAGACTTCATTAGGAGTAGCTCAACTTAATACGGCTTATCTCAGCCTACGGTAAATTGTGAATACATTTTTTAATTTCCACAGGGCTTTTTTTTTTTTTTTGCATAAGCATTTTATTATTATTTTTATTATTAATTTTTATTGAAGTTTTTATCTCTACAAAATAACAGAAAGAAAGAAACGCTTTGTGTTACCAACATGTACATATGTGTAAACACAGGGCAATTTTTACGGTAGTAAAAGTCAGCAGGAATGGACAGAGTACTAAAGCATGCATCCTAAATTTCTGGTCCTTGTGAATGTAAAGAAATGCATTTTTTGTTATTACAGTTGTGAGATTTCCATTGTGTAGCAGCTAAAGATTGATAGATTTACCTCTATTTAGATAATTTTATTATGTGTTTTTAATCTCTATTTTAAACATTAGTATTTTACAATATTTTACGTAAACCACTTATTTATTTATTTATTGGCACATAGGTTTTGCTTTCTAAAAATATATAAACACCTAGTCGCTGTTACAGGGGACATGGGGCTGCTGAAGTCCCCCATCTCTAAATATTTGCCTGAGAACATATGATGTCACCACGTTCGACATCTCCCCACTACCAGGCAGGAGGAGCTAGTGAATTGTGGCAGGGAAATACCAAGTGAGATGATGTCTCAGCATGTTTTAACAGGGAGATACATGCCAGTGACAGCCACACCTGACTGCCCAATAACGTCTAGTTAAGAATCTGAGAATGTGAACTGGGAAGTTATTAACTGAAATGTTACCTCTGCTCTATGAATTTGGGGGTCACAGCCCAGCTGCGTGTTTGCTGCCTTGGGCTTCCTCAACAACATGGGGCATTATAATAAAGACCTATGTTATAGGGCTACTGTAAATACTACTAAGATAAAGTATGTGAAGCACTTAGAAAGCTCAAAAGTCCTACATAAATATTTACTATTAAAAGCCGTAGCTAATCATAAGCTCACACAGAAAATGCATAAAGCAAACATATAGAGGTGGGGAGGAAGCGAGTCTCAGCTCCACACAAGCCCAAACCTGAAACACCTTGTAAAGTGAACAAATTTATTCACAAATCAATGCTGATTTCTATTACATACAACTGCAGTACTGTAGGGGAAATAAAGCTAGGTTTATTGTGCAAACTGTATCAGTTTGGTATAACTACCCTTAAGTGCTGTATAGGATAACAGAGGTGGATTTAGGGGAGCACGACCAGTTTGCCCACACTGGGCGAAGAACCAAGAGGGCACCACAAGGGGTACCACAATGATATAATCGGGACGCGGGTGGCGCTGTGGTCTAAACCACTGAGATTCTTGGGCTTGCCGATCAGAAGGTTGGTGGTTACCTTTGCCACAATGATGCCACAAAGGGAGAGAGATGGAGCGGGGGGGAGAGACGTCGAATTTTGGCATCACCCAGGATGCCACCGAAATTTGAAGGACCATAGTCCACCACTGAGGATAATGCTGCAATCCCAACCATGTCTTCTAAGACAGCAAATCCCACTGAATTCAATGGCCTGAACTTGGCCCCGTGCTTTGGAGTGATGCTCTTCCAAGAGAGATTCTTCTCTCAACCTTACAGCGTTGGGTGAAAACTTTTCCTATGCCGGCCATTCAAGAAAAGAATTTTCAGTCATGGTGGGCTACCTGCTTTAATTTCTTTAAGTGGTTTTTACAGTGTGCATGTTTGTGTATGCATGCAGTTGACCTACACAAATATTTTTAAATAAATAAATAAAATGATAATGATAATAATAATTTATTTATAACCTGCCCATCTGGCTGGGTTTCCCCAGCCACTCTAGGTGGCTTCCAACAAAATATTAAACTTTTAACTTAACTGCATGTTAATAGCACATCTAAAAATGAATGTCAGATAGTCAACATTCACAAAATGTTGAACACTGATTAAAATATACATACAGTGGTACCTCGGGTTAAGTACTTAATTCATTCTGGAGGTACATTCTTAACCTGAAACTGTTCTTAACCTGAAGCACCACTTTAGCTAATGGGGCCTCCTGCTGCCGCCGTGCCGCCGGAGCATGATTTCTGTTCTCATCCTGAAGCAAAGTTCTTAACCTGAAGCACTATTTCTGGGTTAGCGGAGTCTGTAACCTGAATCGTATGTAACCTGAAGCGTATGTAACCCGAGGTACCACTGTATTACTGAAAGTTGCAACTTTACTACGAGGCAGGCATGTATGTTTTCTCTTTCTTGTAATTTGTTTTGTTTTCTCTCTTACTTGTAATCTTACTTGCATGTATGTTTTTTCTCTTACTTGTAATTACAAAATTACAGTCTCATTTGTTTAAAACTACGCTGAAAAACAATAAAAAGTAGCCAATGGTAAAATCCTGCTTTAACTTAAAGGTCTCTCTAAATAAACAAAAATAAAAGTTAAAACTACCCTCTCTCTTCTTTTTTTCCTCTTCATGTTTGCAATGTTTATAAGCAAAGTACATTTTCTTTTACAATAAGATTATTGAACTGTCCGATATTTAGTGGCACAAGTAAAAAATAAAATAAACCCAACAGCAAATAAATTAAAAAGCATAGGCCAACCACTGGACATAAAGCTTCAGACACTGGGAACAATTTGACAAGCACAGTCGCTAGGGTTAGGGCTGCAGCGTTTTATCCTCTATCAAATTTGATGTAATTTGGCGTTGGTTTGTTAAAAATTTGGAAACTAATAGGTGTTATTTGCCACCACCACCCCTAAAAAGAAAGAAAAGCACTGCAGCTTTTATCCCCTAATCTCGAAGAGTTGGGGTTTTTTACTTTTTAGGGCTCGATCCCATAAACGCTTGCCTGGGAGCAAATCCCGTTGAAAGAAACGGGGCTTAACACCGACAGGGCAATCTTGACCCGTGTCAAACTCACGTCAGAAGCAAGCCCCATTGACCTCGGTGAGATCTGTCTCCAAGTAAATGCGCGCACCCCAAAAAGGGGGTAGGTTTGGGCTGCAATCCTAACTTAGCTCGTACCTGAGCTCTCCACCTGGAGAAGGAAGCCCAGGTGCTCCTTATGCTCCTCCGACAGGACCAGCAACATCTTCCGCAGCTTGGCGCCCCCCGCCGACCGAAACCGACGCCGACCGTAACCCCGGCGCCGCTGCGGCGCGTCAGTAGGAAGCTTCCCCCGCAGCCACTGCGGCCCCTCAGCCAAAGCCGTCCGGTCGGGAATCAACTCCCGCGCCGAAGCGTTCCGCCTCCTGATTCTGTCGCCACGCAGTACTGTACTTCAATCCATCCCCGCGCGGGGCGTTTGGGAATCGCTAGGCGGTTGTCAAGCGGCCTCCTGCGGCTGACAGCTGCCTTAATTGCATTCATTAACGCCTGCTGTGAATAACACATGTGAACATGGGCGTAGCCAGGATTTATGTTGCGCGCGCGCAGGGGGTGGAGGAACCTCAGTTAGGTATTCATTCTTTTTATTAACTTGATTTTGGGTGCTGTTATGTACCGAGTTGAATAGGATCCAAAATGCGGCAGTCTGATTGGCCCTAGAACAATAGGATTCAGAATGCAGCAGTCTGATTGGTCCTAGAACAATAGCCCTGGTTCAGGGAAGCTTTTAATGTTTAATAGGTTATTGTATTTTAGTGTTTTGTTGGAAGCCGCCCAGAGTGGCTGGGGAAATAATAATAATAATAATTATTATTTATCTATCAACATCATAGGATCCAGAATGCAGCAGTCTGATTGGTCCACAGGAGCTACCCAATCCAGCTCCAGGTGGAAGTGAATCCGCAACCTGATTGGCATACTAGAGAATCCCAGAATTAGCCAATCACGTGGGGCCCATTGTGTAAATAATGTATATACAGTGGTGCCTCGCAAGATGAAATTAATTCGTTCCGCAAGTTTTTTCTTCTTGCGAGTTTTTCGTCTTGCGAAGCACGGTTTCCCATAGGAATGCATTGAAAATCAATTAATGTGTTCCTATGGAGACCGCTTGCCAGGCTGGCGGTGCGGAGAAGGGCTTTTCTCCCCACCGCAAGCCTTCAGGACAGGTACGGGAACAGAGGGGAAGGCGTGCAGCGCTTCTCCTCTGTTCCCGGGGCTTGCGGTGGGAGGAGGGTTTTTCCTCCCCACCGCCAACATTCAGAACAGCATTCTGAATGTTGGCGGTGGGAAGGAAAACCCTCCTCCCACCGCAAGTCTTCAGGACAGCCATCCGAAGGCTGGCGCAGGGAGAGGGTCTCTCCGCCCCGCCGCCAGCCTTCGGAGCAGCCTTCCGAAGGCTGGCGGCGGGAGGAGGTCTCTCCGCCCCGCCGCCAGCCTTCGGAGGAGGTCCGAGGACAGTGGGGAAGACGCGCTGTGCTTCCCCGCTGTCCCGGAGATTTCCCTATGGGCTTTCGTCTTGCGAAGGAAGCCCATAGGGAAATTCGTTTTGCGAAGCGCCTCCAAAACGGAAAACCCTTTCGTCTAGCGGGTTTTCCGTCTTGCGAGGCGTTCGTCTTGCGGGGCACCACTGTAAAGCAGTTTTGGGGGAACTTCCATTCCTCCTCACCACTATGAGCTGAATAAAGAGCATGAAATCCACTCTCGACTCAGAGTATATTTCAGGTGCCCCCTTGCACTCCCTTGGCTATGCCTATGCATCTGAAGAGGATTTGGGCCCCCCTCTAGAACAGGGTTTCTCAAACTTGGGTCTCCAACTGTTTTTGGACTACAAGTTTGGGAAACCCTGCTCTAGAATGGCTGTGGTGGTGGTTTTTCGCAGGTGCATTTTGCAACATGCAGTTGATGCGGTAATAGTGCATTAAGAGGTGGATTTATAGTGGACCACACATTCCCCTTTATAAGTTGTTCTGTGATACATCTGTAATGTTGCTGCACTGCTGCCTTCTGAAGAGCAACGAACGTGGGGCAAACACCCCGCCCTGGACATTTGTGGCATAGAAAGTTCAGCTTTTTTGTTGAAAGTTGTGGGAGACGCACTAGTTGGGCATGTGCCTGCCCTGAAGCTTTCGCGGGTAGAAACGATATTGAAAGCGGGATCAGAAGTTCCCTGATATCATTAGCACATTGGGAGGGCTTTTGGTCACATGGGTTGCCAAGGGAACAAGTAGGCCAAAATGGCAGCTTGGCCCATGGAATCAGAACTGTAGAGTTGGGACACCGAGGATCATCTAATCCAACTCCCTGCAGTGTAAGAATCCTGCCCACAGCTGCCCCTAGGTGAGCTCCATGCAGGAACCATATTTCTTCTCATGGCTCAGCTGTGGCTGTTTGGAGACATGCCCAACCCCCAAGAAATATTTTCTTTGGAGTTGTACCCTGGATTCAAACCTAGGACTCCTGCATGTTAGACCTGAATTCTTCCACCAAGCTTGGGCTCCTTCTGTAGCCAAATGTGACCTTTTTTGTTTGTCTTACTATACATGTGTGGTTCATTCTCTACAACAGTGGTTAAGAGGGGAAGGTCAGAGACAAGAAAAAAGGAGATAAAAAGGCACAACTGCTTAATTTCTAAGATTCAGTAAGCTGCAAAATGTGCAAGTGCTTTTACTCTGCTAGAAAGGTTTCACAGCCCGTTTACTTTTTGTATTTCTCCCACACATGAGACAGCAGGTTTCAATTTTAATCTACAAATTTAACCCTCAATACAATTCTCCAAAGACAGCACCTGTTGTACACATTGAGTACACTGGATAGTCTGAAAATAGTCTTCATTATCCAAAGGCTCCAAGGTGAAAATCATACACAATCTCTCTTGAGGCTTCACTCTTCAGTTTTTAACTAATTGTGTTTTTATATAAGCAAGTCTTCGTCAACTTTGTATAGGTTTATTTGCTGCATTAAAAAAACCTGCAATTAGTTTTTTTTAAAAAAAACAGACTTCAGTCTGTGGCATCTGAATATAGACTGCATTTTTAATCAAGACTTATATTGGCTTATATCTTGATCAGGTTCCTAAATTAAATGGGCTTAGATTTTCAAATGTTTCATGCCAGCTGTTTAGAGAACCTTTGGCAATGTTTTCCTCCTAGACAAGGGGCCCCTTGATTTATAGCAGAAAACAATTCTCAAAGTCGTAAAAGCTGGAATTACAGACTGAGAGTGAGGGCACTGACCCTACATGTTACAGAAGATAAAAAAGGCAGAGATAAACATAATTAAGAGTTGGTAAATAGTAAAATAAAACCGTTAAACTTGAGCCACAGGACAAAAGGCCAAGAGCACATGGAAAACAAAGCAACTGGCTGGAGAAGGGGGGAGTGTAAACAGGGGAAGAGGCTTTTATTTCCTATTTTATTTTGAGGCTGTAAACTGTTCCTTCCTTTTACAAAGGCCTTATTCCTTTTAAGAGGCTACCTGTGTTGTGTATTAAGTGTATTGGCATAGATGTAATTATGCAAAGGATTTAAGAAATGCTAGATTCTTATTTCATATAGTTGTAAGAGTTGTATTTATCCTGAAATTAAGTCAGCCACCAGCCTAGCCCCCCTGCCGGACGGGAGACGCCATCCGAGCAGTCCTGATATATATGGTTGTCAGACATTTGTTTGGAAACCTTCAAATGAAGGAGATCTTTCAATGTTGATGTGAAACTCAAGATCCTTGACATATGTTTAAGATAAAAATTTAAGATTAACCATTTGTTTTAGAAGGCAATAGGGCAAGGAGGGCAAGAGGTGAGCTGGTAATTAAGATTCCTTGTTGAGACACATGTAAGATATATTACTACTTATTTGTCATTTATAGATGTAACAATATATAGCTCTTTGTGTTCCATATAAGGACAGGAGGATATGGGTGTATCTTTTTGTGATTGGTCATACCAATCAGCCAATAGGAATTTCAACCAGGCTGATTGGACAGAGGCAGCCACAGGAGGAGCAAAGGGGGCTGGATTAAGGGAATATAAGTGCTGGCCATAATGGCAGGAGGCCAGGCCAGAGCTTGGTAACCATATACCACTGTGCCTCTCATTTATTTGTCTGACAAATAAATTATTATTTTAATTTCTCTATTGCTGCGTTGAATATTTCATTCCAGCTAAGCGTTAACCACAAGCAGGGTGCTACAAGTCCTCAGGGGGGGAAAGTTCAGTTGTCAGTTCCAACTTACTAGCCTTCAAAAATGATCCCCTCTCAATCTACTCCCCTCAGATGAAATTTATGTAAAGTAGCATGCTGACTACTTACAAGGCCTGTCAATTTACAGTGCCTGACACTAAGAGCCAAAAATGTACAGTCACAAATTATATATTACATTTTGAATATATATGTCTTATTAATATTCCATGATGTAATCCTCTTTGTATGTAATTGGTGGGGTGGGAAATATAGCTTAAAATTATCAGCAAATGTGTCAGGATCTCCGAACACAACGTTTCAAGATGGATCATCTCCAGCAAATGCTCGTTTCAAATGGAGGCTGGTAAGCACACAGGTTTGTATATGCTTTTTTTAGCCAGGGTTCTTGCAATGCCAAGTTGTTCGAGCCAAGGTTTCTCTTTAAATGCACTGCAATAGAAGATTTAGATATGATGTCTGTTACTTTTTGCTGTCAAAGAAAAAGCAGAGTACATATGACACCTAGTTTTAAATATATATAAAAGCAAACAGACAAACCCAAACACCCTGTTTTAAATCAAGGAAACATAAATATGTAGTAATGCTATAGCTGGTTGATGCATTTCCATCTCGTACTATTTTTATTTATGTAGTACTGTAGGTGTACGTAGAGCTTTGCAGATTAACATAAGCAAAATTAGAATTCCTTGCCCCAAAGGGACTGCAATTGGAATTTATCCAGAGGGTGAGTTACCAGGGAGAAAAGAAGAAAAAAGAGGCAAGGTGATAAAGGGATAAATGTGAATATTTACATTCAGATGTATTTAGGGTTTGTTTCTGCAAGAGACAAACAGAGTGATTAAACCAAAGGCTTAATGACGAGGGGGCTAGTCTGCAGCCCTCCTGATGTTGTTGGACTACAGCTCCCATCATCCCTGATTGTAGACCGTACTACTTGGAGCTGGAGCCTACATTGCCTCAAAACTTACCGAATACAGAAAGTGTCTAGGAGCAACCTCCATGATATGTTGGTTTCCTGTGTGCAGGATTCCACCCCATTTCCAACGGGGAAAACATTCAGACATATTAATTCCCCACTTGCAGCTTGAGGTGGCGCAGTCCAGGAACAGTTTTGCTACGTGATGTGTTATGAGATGCTCAACTCCCATCAGCCCCAGCCAGCATGACCAACAATCAGGAATATGGAAGCTGCAGGCAAACAACATCTGGAGGGCCACAGGATCCACACTCCTAATCTATACGACTCTAAATAAGGCGGTCAGATAGGGACTGATTGTCATGTGGAGACTATTTCAGGAAACTTCCATGGCAAACATTAGCCTGTTTTAGCTTCATGCATCATCATCAAAGAGAGACCACAGACCACAGCAGTGATCATAGCTTTTACCTTTCGCCTAAGATGGGCACAGATTATGCTGCAGAAATCTCTAACCATTTAAACTAGGGCAAAACATATATTCATGGAGGACATCAAATGACTACTAGTCATAATAGCTCTATTGCCTCCAGTATCAGAAGCAATAGGACGCGGGTGGCGCTGTGGGTAAAAGCCTCAGCGCCTAGGGCTTGCCGATTGAAAGGTCGGTGGTTCGAATCCCCGCGGCGGGGTGCGCTCCCGTTGTTTGGTCCCAGCGCCTGCCAACCTAGCAGTTCGAAAGCACCCACGGGTGCAAGTAGGGACCGCTTACTGGCAGGAAGGTAAACGGTGTTTCCTTGTGCGGCTCGGGCTCGCCAGAGCAGCGATGTCACGCTGGCCACGTGACCCGGAAGTGTCTCTGGACAGCGCTGGCCCCCGGCCTCTTAAGTGAGATGGGTGCACAACCCTAGAGTCTGTCAAGACTGGCCCGTACGGGCAGGGGTACCTTTACCTTTTATCAGAAGCAATATACCTCTGCATAACAATTATTGGTGACCATAACCAGAAGAGGGCAATTACACTCATGTTATGCTTGTAGACTTCTCATAGGTATATGGTTGTATGCTGGACTAGATGGGCCTATGGTCTGACCCATCAGGGCTCTGCTGTTGCTCTTAACCATTGGCTACCTAGGAATGTCACAAATCATCTGCCTCTGGCCCTCCTTTCCCTTGCTAGTAAAGATCCCTGTGTTGGTCTGGAAAATCCCCTGGTGAACGGTATGGCTCTTAAAAGGTCCATCATGGAAATGTAGGTAGATATGTCCTCAGTAAGTAAACAATCCAGGAACTGAAATCACAGTATGATTCTTGCTTGGTTTTAACTCCCTTTGGTTAGTACAAGCCACCGTTCCCAGACTTCAGATGTTATGCAGAAGCCAAGGTACATTATAGTTGGTTCCCAATCATCCTAACCTAAAACCATGGTTTGGGTCATCATTTGATGCAGATCAGTCTCTTCCATTTTATATGTTGCCTACGCTTATTACCTAGTTCTTTGCTTGTTTTATTTCCCTGCAGGGTTTAGCAACTGTCAGCTTACTCAGCAGTTTCCTGTTATTTCCTGCTGTCCTTTAGCTTGTAGCTGCATAAAGGTATTTTTCTTCAGATGGAAACACCAGGGTTACTATTGCTTAAATCACTACCACCACATGGTGGCAGTATGCATTCATCAGCGAGAGTCTCAATCTCAAGTCTATCCAAGACAGCCTTTTGTAGGAGTCTCTCTAAATAAATATTACAGCTAATAAAGAAGATTCAGTTACTGCATCTGCACTTCACTATATAAGAGAGAGGGAGATTATGTATTCTGTGTTTTTTCTCAGAATAAAGTAGCCTACCCAGACCCTGAGTCAGATCCAGCTGTCATGCATTTGTTAAATAAGCTGCAGACTTCATTTACAGTGGTACGTTGGTACTCAAATGCCTTGATTCCCAAATGCCGAAAACCTGGAAGTAAGTGTTTTGGTTTTCAAACGTTTTTCAGAAGCTGAACATCCACTGCAGTTGTCGGCTATTGTTTCTGGGGTCCTGCACAAATCAGAAGATGCGCCTTGGTTTTTGAACATTTTGGAAGTCAAACAGACTTCCGAGACAGATTAATTTTAGTACTTTTGTTTTTGCTATTTATATTGCATTTTTGTTTTTGCGGTTTTTTCAATTAATTTGTTTTTGTGACTGTGTGGAACCCAGTTCAGCTACTGATTGATTGATTGAGTGAGTGAGTGAGTGAGTGAGTGATTGTGGAAATGGATAAAAGCCCCCCATCCAAACAATGACTATCATCAGTGCAGGTAAGAAAAAAATAATTTTAATTTTTATCCTCTACAATACTGTCTTACTTATTTTATTTTATAGTACAGTACATTGATTATTCCTTTCATTTTATGGATCAATGGTCTTGTTAGATAGTAAAATGCATGTTAAATTGCTGTTTTAGGGGTTGTTTTTAAAAGTCTGGAACGGATTAATCCATTTTGCATTACTTCCTATGGGAAAGCGTGCCTTGGTTTTGGAACACTTTGGATTTAGAACGGACTTCCGGATCGGATGAAGTTTGAGAATCAAGGTACCACTGTATTTGGCTTTTAAAAAACAAAACAACAAAAAAAACCTTCAGTCCTGCATTATATCAGCTGATTTCAGGGCAGGGTACATACTCCAAAAAATAAGGCCGGGGTGTAGAGGTGAGGCATCCCTGAGATGGGGCTGCTCAGGCTACTTTTAACCTACTGCAGGTCCCTTCAGGTGTTCTGTGAGACCTCCAGCCTCTTTCTCTGAACAGCTCTCCCCAGGATCTGAGTTGGATGAGATCCTGACAGCCCAGCCTTTTCAGCTGTGGTGCCTTAGTTGTAGAACACCCTGCCAAATCAGGTGTATCTGGCCCCGTTTTCTCGCTTTTAAGAAGATTCTTAAGATCAAGTATATTTTATGTTGACAGGTGTTTTCAATTCCCAGTCCTGGCTGGCATGTTTTCTCTGCTGGATGCTGTGCTGTTTGTATGCTATTTCACTACTGTATGGTTGATCGTATCTCGCTTTTTCTAGTGCTTTTGTTTTATGATTTAGGCCCCAATCTTACAATTATCTATCGAGAAGTATGTCCCATTGTTTCCAATGGGCGATATCCTACTATGACTAATGGCTAGATGGAACTTCTTTCCAGGAAAAAATTTATTTTCTTAAGTTGCCTCGACTGCTGTGCTCACCATAGAAATACAGGAGGTAAATGTTAACTAAAACTGTAAAGAAGATCAGTGCAGTTTGTTACTGGAAAGATACATAAAATTGGATGAATCGATGGGATAAAATATATTGTGGCAGATCAGGAAAATGCATAAAACATATGCCTTTAAAGCACACCTAAAAGGTAAAGGTAAAGGGACCCCTGACAGTTAAGTCCAGTCGTGATTGACTCTGGGGTTGCGGCGCTCATCTCGCTTTACAGGCTGAGGGAGCTGGCGTTTGTCCCCTCTGCAGTTTTTCTGGGTCATGTGGCCAGCATGACTAAGCCGCTTCTGGCAAAACGGAACACCGACACCAGAGCAGCGCACGGAAATGCTGTTTACCTTCCCGCCGGAGCAGTACCTATTTATCTACTTGCACTTTGGCGTGCTTTCGAACTGCTAGGTGGGCAGGAGCTGAGACTGAGCAACGGGAGCTCACCCCGTCGTGGGGATTTGAACCGTCGACCTTTTGATCGGCAAGCCCAAGGCTCAGTGGTTTAGACCACAGTGCCACCCACGTCCTCAAAAGCACACCTAACACACGTTTAAAGAAGATGTTTCACCCAAAGAACCCTGGGGACTGTATTTTATTAAAGGTGCTGAGAATTATAGCCCTGCAAGTACAGTTCTCAGGATTCTTTGAGGGGAAGCCATGTACTTTAAAATGTCACTTTTTATTTATATTTTATTCAGTCTTGAGGGTGGGGTGGGGGCAGAATTAAAAAGGATACAGCACCAATAGTGTGATTAGCTGCTGCCTTTCAGACTGGGGTGTTTCTGGGTGCACTGCCCACCCTTGGTAAGAACAAAGATAAACATACCTGGCTATGGCTAAGCAGTAGATTGCATTCTCCCTCGGTGATCTTCCACTGTGTTCTGAAAAAGACTTGACAGAAGAATTGAGCAGAATTTTTGCATTGGAGATGGAATAACGAGAAACAGGCTTGACAACAGAGACAGCGGGTAGAGGAACTCTTGCTAAACACATATTTTGGTCCATATTTTCTTCACCGCTAATGTGCAGAATCTTCCTCCTGGCGTTATTTTTCTGTGTCAGTCTGCCCGTATTAGCATTGTTGTATGCATCTGCTACCAGAGGCAATTTGACATTTGTCCCTAGGTACCCCTTTGAAATCGTCAAGCACCAGTCACCCTGCCCGTGCTGGAACTGAGAGTTTATGTTTGGTAGTTCATAGCCTCTGCGGCCTGTGCCCTTGACTGTGGCCGAATAAAAACTTTTGGAAGTCATTTTGGGCTCTGTGAAACCATCCACAAGGACAATGTCCCCAACCCTAGTCCTGAAGACTGATGTCTGCTTGCGCCGCTTCTTCGTACAGATGTTATTTTGAGCCTTAAGCAGCCACAGTTTTAACTTGATGTAGATTTTCATGGGAAGGGAGGAATTAGGGTAAGAAACCACTGACCACATCTTGGTGACTAAATACAGCACACAGTTCTTGTGTCTGTGTTGGATACATAGCTGCAAGGGAGTTTGTCCTGCAGAGTTCTGGCATTCAAGGCATAAGACACTGTAATTGACAAAAGCTTTCAGAACCATGAGCTGGCCTGCTTCCGCAGCTGCATGAACTGGACAACTGGTGACATCCGGCTGGCTGCTTTCATGACACCACTCTCGATAGGGATGTATGCCAACTGGTTCAGTGGGTTTCACACCCTGTTTCAGGAGCCACGCCAAAAGCTGAAGGTGTCCGAAAAAGGCTGCCATATAAAGAGCTACCCTCTTTTGATATCTGAGAGAGAGAGCGAGAGAACATGAATGAATAGTGAAAAGCAAAACAAGTCCTTTACAAAAATCATAGTTAGGCACGCAGTAGAGAGTGGATAATGCAACAAGTTTTTTTTTAAGTCATGAGTCTGAAAATCCCTGAATAAAAGTAAATAATAATAATAATAATAATAATAATAATAATAAATTTATTATTTGTACCCAGCCAGATGGGCGGGGTTTCCCCAGCCACTCTGGGCGGCTTCCAACAGAATATTAAAATACAATAGTCTATTAAACATTAAAAGCTTCCCTAAATAGGGCTGCCTTCAGGTGTCTTCTATAAGTCTGGTAGTTGTTGTTCTCTTTGACATCTGGTGGGAGGGCATTCCACAGGGCGGGTGCCACTACCGAGAAGGCCCTCTGCCTCGTTCCCTGTAGCTTTGCTTCTTGCAGTGAGGTGTCAAAGCAAGATTAGAATCTAGGCCAAATAATAAAGTTTTTTTTCTTTAAGGCGAGGGGCATTTTGAAACTGACTGTCTCGGTCTCAAATGGAAAACCTCTTTATAAAGTTAACTATCATTTTAAATTGATTGTACCTGAGCACTGGTTCTTCCTTTGAAAGATAGCGCTGGACCTTGGGCTTGTTTCCTAAGAGACATCCAGTCAGCAATTCTTTCCACCCATCCCAAACATCCAGGTGAAGAGTTGTGCCTGCCAACAGAAAGTTCCAGTCCTTTGCTCTGCTTCTAGTTAGCCCGAGGTACCACTGTATGCTTAATGGCTTCTCTGCTGAGCGTACAATGGCATACATTCCAAAATTATTGGAGGGCAAAGCAGGACACCCCTGCCCCCACCATCCCACCTGTCCCACCTTTGTACTCTTTCGCTCGCTCACCAACCCAATCTTGGCGCTACCGGCCCAAGCCATCTCTGCTCTCCTTTGCTCACGCTGCTCCTACTCCCTGCCCTCCTCCCTTGGCCTGCCACCTCTTCCTCCTCTGCCAGCACTGCAGACGTACTTCCGGAAACTGTCTTCCAGAAGTGTCAGGTCAGAAGACGCGAGAAGAGCAGAGACGTGCAGGGGAAAAGGTGGGTTTTGCTTCTGGGTTGTTGTTTTTTGGCCCCGTGCTCTAGTGTGACTCGCACCACAGCACGGAAGCAAAAAATATACCAATGTTTTGGTCCTGCACTCTGGCACGGCCAGAGCATGGGACTGGGACATCCAGGATTGGGATCAGAAGCCAGGAAGGCTTCTATCAATCTGGAATGCACCGCTTAAAATGGGATAGTTGAGTGGTATGCACTGGACTGTAGCCTTACACCCTCGTTTTTACGGGAACGCCTCTCCTGGTATGCCCCGCAGAGGACCTTAAGGTCCATGAATAATCATAGTTTAGAGGTCCCAGGCCCTAAGGAAGTCAGATTATCCTCCGCCAGGGCCTTCTCAGTGATGGCTCCAACCTGGTGGAATGCTCTGTCCCATGAGACCAGGGCCCTGCAGGATTTAACTTCCTTCTGCAGGGCCTGTAAGACAGAACTATTCCGCCTGGCTTTCAATTTGAACTTAGCCTGATCTTTTATTCCCCTTCCTTCCCTCCCCCTCCCCTGTTTATGAAGATTACCCATTCTGGGATCCTACAGCTAATTCTCCCCATGTCTCCTTGCTGGCCCAAATAGGACTAATTTAGCCAGCTAGCCCTGGTGATCATCTAATGTTTATTGGATGGATTTCCCCCCTAAATTGATTTTTGAATTCTGGATTTATTGTTATTCATGTTTTATACTGTATTTTATGCTTTTTTTTGTTGCATTAATTGCCGTATTTTTTGCTCTATAAGACTCACTTTTTCCCTCCTAAAAAGTAAGGGGAAATGTGTGTGCGTCTTATGGAGTGAATGCAGGCTGCACAGCTATCCCAGAAGCCAGAACAGCAAGAGGGATTGCTGCTTTCACTGCGCAGCGATCCCTCTTGCTGTTCTGGCTTCTGAGATTCAGAATATTTTTTTTCTTGTTTTCCTCCTCCAAAAACTAGGTGCGTCTTGTGGTCTGGTGCATCTTATAGAGCAAAAAATACGGTAAGTGTTTTAAATTTGTTGTTAGCCGCCCTGAGCCCGTTTTTTTGAACCGGGAAGGGCGGGGTATAAATAAAAATTATTATTATTATTACTATAAATTCTATAGATATATCTTTGCTCAGAATTACACCCCGAGTTCAATGGGCTTCACAGCCTGGTAAGTGAGCATAGGCTTGCAGCCTTACTCTATGACTGTACTTATTTTGCTTTTCTATGAGGCAAACCAGTGTATCAACAATGCTTCCTTTCAAGTCTTTTTTTGGAGTGGGGAGGTCTTGGTCGTTTCATAGGCTACTTAGATATAGATTGCTTACTACAAAGTGTTGTTTTTTAATGTGCAAATTGCAGCAGCAGTATCTCTGAACAAAGGCTGAATTATCTGACTGCATGGTTCTAAAAAGTTAAACTTAACTAGCTTTTTATCAGCTTTCTTCATTTTAACATTTCCAAATACTCTATACAGTGGTACCTCGCAAGACGAATGCCTCGCAAGACAAAAAACTCGCTAGACGAAAGGGTTTTTTGTTTTTTGAGCTGCTTCGCAAGACGATTTTCCCTATGGGCTTGCTTCGCAAGATGGAAACGTCTTGCAAGTTTGTTTCCTTTTTCTTAACACCGTTAATACAGTTGCGACTTGACTTCGAGGAGCAACTCATAAAACGCAGTGTGGTAGCCTTTTTTGAGGTTTTTAAAGACTTTGGTGATTTTTGAAGCTTTTCCAAAACTTTCCCGACACCGTGCTTTGCAAGACGAAAAAAATCGCAAGACGACAAAACTCGCGGAACGAATTAATTTCGTCTTGCGAGGCACCACTGTATCACTTGCAGATGTTAAGAAGGCACTCGTGGGAAGGCCCAATAATATTGCAAAATATGGTGTTGTCCAACATGCACAAAAAAATATTTTTATTCAAGGAAACAGTCCAAAATGATACCTATTTCTTAAATTCAGATACTTCTAGAAAAGTCTGGAGATCTATGTTATCGCATGGGAGTAGATAAAAACCCACAAACAGTCTTAATACCTATATCTAACTGATAATCACTCAAGGTATTGCAGTCGTACATCTCTCTGCCCTCTGGCGTCCTGAGACAATAAATGCTGTTTGGAAAGCCGCACTTCAGGGTTACCAGGCTTTTGAGCTGGGAAACCTTTAACCCCAGGAGATAAATCTTCCCCATGATGGGCACTTTTTCACGGGTGACAGCATTGTAAACATAGAAAACAGGCTTATCTTCTTCCTGGAAAGGAAACCCAACAATGAGATCAATATTCCAGTGGTAATATCCTTTGTAAAATTGTGCTTATAGCCCATGTAGAATTCTGACTATAAGACATGCGGGCATCCATTCCCAATGCATAGAATGTGGTCTTGTGGATGATGCCCACAACAGCAACAATCAGTTTCGTTATAAATTCAATTCAATTCAATTCAATTCAATTCAATTTACAATCTCTACAGTGGAGAGATAAAGGAAGATATGAAGACCTAGCACTGTCCTATATACAAAGAGCTGGATTTGAATTCCAGATCAACCTAGTTACAACTTAGTGCAAGTCCTTCTTTTGCAACCTTCATTCCCATCTGTGAAATAGGAATAACCACTGACCTACCTCACAAAGTAGAGGTGTTCAGAGAGAAAACAAAGCAGGACTTGTAGAACACTTGTCACAATGAAAGGTCCTGTCAAATGGAAATAATGGTTTCTAATACAGTGGTGCCTCGCAAGACGAAATCAATTCGTTCCGCGAGTTTTGTCGTCTTGCGATTTTTTTCGTCTTGCGAAGCACGGTGTCGGGAAAGTTTTGGAAAAGCTTCAAAAATCACCAAAGTCTTTAAAAATCTCAAAAAAGGCTATCACACAGCGTTCTATGAATTGCTCCTCGAAGTCAAGTCGCAACTGTATTAATGGTGTTAAGAAAAAGGAAACAAACTTGCAAGACGTTTCCGTCTTGCGAAGCAAGCCCAGAGGGAAAATCGTCTTGCGAAGCAGCTCAAAAAACAAAAAACCCTTTCGTCTAGCGAGTTTTTTGTCTTGCGAGGCATTCGTCTTGCGAGGTACCACTGTATAGGATTTCCAGGCCAAAAGAACAATGTCTGGCTATGTTTCTCCATCTCTGTAGATGCCCCAATATGAGCACAGTCCTTTTTCAGTTCAATTCTGTTTACTCCAATTGAGATCAGAGGATTGCATTCTTAGGTAACTGGGCAGAGAATTGCGGCTCTCAATGTTCTATGCTTTGTTCTCATCTTCAGTGATCTTAGTAATGCTGTGCCAGGAACAATAAAAATTCTGGCAAACTAACTCTTGAACTGAGAAAACAAAGTGACCTGGGATAAATTGTTTCAGGATTCTCAAACCACAGCCAAGCTGAATTCAGAAATTCTCTCTGTTTGCATATCAGCTTCAAAATGGGAGGGGTGGAATTGCTCTGGGCATTGGGGGAAATCTAAATGGCGGATTACAAGTCACCTGGTACTGATTCAGGGCACTGCTGCTGCTGCTGCTGCTGCCGCCGCCACCAGGTAAGTCCACCTGGTGTCACTAAGGGCCCCTTCCAACTTTGCCAAGAGGCTGGCTGTCCTCAAGTCTAGAGCTAGTACTGCAGCCAGCCAGCCCATTAGCACCTGAGATTTGTGTTTCTGGGACTCATCCTACTCTTGTGACTGTAAGATGTTTCAACTCTTTTTAATTCTCAATTTTTAAATTGTTTTAACTAGCTCTGAGACCTGCTGATGATGGGTGGGTAAATAATAATAGTAGTAGTAGCAACAACAACAATACCCTGCTCCTCTGCCTCCCTTAGGGCAAAACTAGCATCCTGCTAAAAGACCCTGATGTTGGGAAAGATGGAGGGCACAAGGAGAAGGGGACGACAGAGGACGAGATGGTTGGACAGTGTTCTCGAAGCTACCAACATGAGTCTGACCAAACTGCGGGAGGCAGTGGAAGACAGGAGTGCCTGGCGTGCTCTGGTCCATGGGGTCACGGAGAGTCGGACACGACTAAACAACAACAAGCATACTGCTGGATGCAGCAGGTAGGGGCAAAGAGGAACAGTGTTTGAGGCAGAACATCCTTTCACATATCACAGGCACTGACATCCAGGCAATGAGCTGGTTACCATATTAATGTGCTTTCTGTACAGATCTATCGTTTCCATTTTTCTGAAGAACTACAGAATGTGATAAGATACAGGATACTAAGCAATACGGAATATTCAAGGTTTAGCATTTTAAAAGAGAGCCTTGAAATCTTTCAAAGGCTGTGCTCATACCATACATCAAAATCACAGGACTCCCCCCCCAAAGAATCCTGGGAACTGTAGTGCCGGGAATGATAGCTCTGTGAAGAGTAAACTACAGTCCCCATGATTCTTTGCAGGAATTGAAGTGTATGGTGTGTGTGTTGTGCAGTCAAAGTTCCTTACAAATCAGTGTGAGGCTAAAGTCTGTAGGTGTGGCATTTTATTCTAGAATCAGTGGAGACTGAGTATTCCCGCCCCCCGCCCCCCCAAGTAGGCCACACACAATCAAGATCTGTTGCGTATTTTCCTGCCACTGGAAAGTATTGAGAAACTGGTTTCATTCCAAAAGATCACCAGAGATTAACCCGCGCAGTGTTCTTTTGAAAACGTGTCGGCAGCCCTGGCAACAGGGTGTGTATACATAGCTGCCCAATGACATAGTGGGTGGGCATCTAACTAGGTCACAATCACCACCTCCTTCCTCTTTCACCTAGAACATGTGTAGGGAGGACTAGGTGTGGATAATAACCCAATCAAAGGGAGGATTTTCAAAGGAATATCAAGAAACCACACCCATGCTTGTGGATGGCAGGGTCTAGAATCAATCCAGATTGAAAGCAAAACACTGAGGATAAGCATGTACAATTCCAGATAGAAAAGGCATATTTTTGTGCTACAAACACGTAGTTGTGTACTCAGCCTAAGGTTTAACTCTCCTTGCATTAGGGCTTTTCTGCCATCATTATCTGAAGGTGACTGTATCTCATTGGAAGATCAGGTGCTTTTGATTCCCGCTGTGTGATCCTAGCCCAAGATCTATAATTTAGTGAGGAAATCGGCATGCATGGAGACTTTCCGTGCTAATTAGGCAGCCTAGGTTTGTTTGTTTTAAAACCGTACTATACCTTAACAACACATTTGATGGTCGAAGAAACTGATATGCCCACATCAGCAAGTATCCAGCTGTCCTTTAACACTGCTCCTGCATAAATTAGCTCCAAATACCGCCTGCCTTGCTTATCTTCCGAGAGAGGAACGTGAAAATAATCCTTAAAGGGGAGGAAATAATTATTTTAGAGCAAATCGTAAACACTTACATCCAGGGCAAATAACCTGTTAGCGTTCAAGTCAATACCCACCACTGAGGGAGCTACAGGGAAGGCCTATTGCTAAGTGCAAAGTACCGTATTTTTTGCACCTGACCATAGGACGCACCTTGTTTTAGAGGGGGAGAACAAGAAAAAAAAATTCTCCCCCTCTCTGCTCAGCGCCCCTTCAGCGAAGTGGCAGGAGAAATGGAGCCCCTTCCATTTCTCTTCCCACTTGGCTGAAGGGGCGCTGCACAGCTCTCCCTCTCTGCTGAAGCCAGGAGAGTCTTGAGTCAAGACTCTCCTGGCTTCAGCGAAAGGAACCTGAAGCCTCCGGAGCGCAGAAGGAACTTGCGCTGTGCTCCGAAGGCTTCAGGTGGCTATCCCTGAAGCCTGGAGAGCGAGATGGGTCGGTGCGCACCGACCCCTCATGCTCTCCAGGCTTCAGCGAAAGCAACGCGACGCCTCCGGAGTGTGGACGGAGCGCTCCCTCTGCACTTCGGAGGCTTCGTGTTGCTATCACTGAAGCCAAGGAGCCTGCATTTGCGCCATAGGATGTACACACATTTCCCCTTAATTTTTGGAGGGGGGAAAGTGCGTCCTATAGAGCGAAAAATACGGTCCTTTCCCAGGCTCAGTTCCTGGCATCTCTGTCTAAAAAATCAGAGGCTCACTGACAGTCAGTGTAGACAAGGGGTGGGGAGCTTTTTCAGCCTGAGGGCCACCTTCCCTGGCAGGCAACTTTCCGGGGGCCGCATTGCAGCAGTGGGCAGGGCAAGAAGCAGAAGTGGGTGGAGCCATGGATGTGCCTTGGACCTTTGTACAGCAGACTTGCATCCTAACCCTGCAAAAGTCTCTAGGCATTCATCCTCCATCCAGGCAAACAAGGGGTTGTCACAGCCCTTAGGGCCAGACAGAAAGGTCTGGAGGAACACGGTTGGTCGCCGGACCCGAGGTTCTCCACCTTGGTGTAGATGATGCTGAGCTAAATGGACCACTGGTGTGGTTCAGTATAATGCCAGGTTCCTATTAAAATGGGAATTAATTGTTTATGTGGATCCCACCCCCTCACCATCCTTGCCTCATTCGCAGCTATGTGGACTAACCCACATAGCATTTGGTGATGACTTGTTGCTTCAGTACAGGAGGCAGGGCCTGAGTCCAGTATTAGAGAATGTAAGGCAGTGTTTTCCAAACTTGGGTCCCCAGCTCTTTATTGAACTACAGTTCCCATCATCCCTGACCACTGGTCCTGCTGGCTAGGGATGATGGGAGTTGTAGTCCAAAACCAGCAGGAGATCCAAGTTTGAGAAACACTGGTGTAAGGGGTCCCATTGCAGTAGGGGGACACTTAGTGTGGGGTGGGCAGCCGGCAACCTTCCCAACGCCAGTGGACTCCAACTCCCATCAGCCCCAGCTAGCATGGTCAACAGTCAGTGGAGATGGTAGTTGTAGCCCGATAACATCTGGGAGGCCACAAGCTGCTTATCCCAACTCAGTGCCAGATCCTGTGCTCTGTTTACCAGGACCAGGACCAGGTTCTCTCATGCTGTTCTTCATGGCTTGAGGTTATAATAGGCTTTAAAAGATATCTATCTACCTCAGTTTTATTTCCCTGATAGAGAACAAGAGTCCTTTTGAATTCACTGGGATATACTTGCAAGTAAACATTCATACTATTGGACAGTAAACGTATTTGGGTTGCAATTCTATGCACGCTTACTTGAGGATAAGTGCCTTATAATTCAATGGGACATACTTAATAGTAAAAATGAATAAAAACTCTGATAAATTAAAACATATTGAACTGTATTTTTATTTTGTGTTGGTTTCATATCGACTTACAGTGCCTGGAGTGAACCTGAAGCCCCCCTCAAATGTGTTTGGTGGTTGTGCCAAAATACATAAATCCTTGTACACAAATTTAAACTTTCTCTCTTGCATACTGCAACTGGAAGGGTTTAGCTGAACCTTACAAGACAGCAAAGCACTTAGTTATTTAAGTTTGTCTACTCAGCTTTCATCACTCAGAGAGACAATACTAACCATCTCTTGTGAAAATATATGCAGATTCAAAACTACCTAGTGAAGCTGAGGTCACATTCACACCATATATTTAATGCACATCTAGAGCACATAACTTCTTCCAAAAAGAATTATGGCAACTGTAGTTAACCCCTCAGGGATAAATTCCCAGCACTCTTAAAAACTACAGTTCCCAATATTTTAAAGTCATGTGCTTTAAATGTATGGTGTATATGCAGCCCTAAGCAGATGGATTAAAATGTAAAATATTATACTCTGATATAAAAACTGATAATATGAATTTAAACCAGACGCTTGAAATGAAATACAATGATGGCAATTCCATTAAATTTGAACTCTCCTTTTTTTAAAGAACCCAGCGCGGGTAGTAGGATGACGTTCCTTAGAAGTTTCATTTTGGCAATGGATATTATCTGATTCAGATTCTCGCAAGCACTTAAAATCAAAATAATAGAGAACGAAGCAACTTGGCCAAGCCCTTACCTTTATCATCAGTTTTAGATCTTTCACTGTGTTCTCTGATGAAATGTCGAAGGATTCCCAGAGTCCTTCAAAAGCGACGAAAACCCTCATTTTGAAAAAAAAAAAAGCTTTTTAGAAACGCCTCCAACGTCTTTCTACTCCATCAAATTCCATGTCAGATGCAAATCTTATCTCCGCACTGGAGGCAAAAGAAAAAACTATTTAAAGCAGGCTGTAAACATCCAAGCAAAATGTGCACATCCCACCCTGCCCCCGCCTCCCAAAAGCTAAAAGGCAGCCTGGAAAAGCCAGGCTCAAGCAGGCAGTGTAGACCCTGCAGGAAACAATGAGCGGAATTTGTTTCCCAGGCTACACTGAACACCAAAAAAAAAATGTTCCCTATTCCAACCCGTAAACTTAATTAAACCAGCAAACCACGTATTGATCAAGGCATGTGCATGCATGTTCCAAGCTAATCACACCCGTCGTATTTGCTCAACAGGCACTTCTCAAACCACAGAGCGCCAGAACATAAGTGAGTCTGGTGTTTATTTTATTGCTTATGGTAAGCTTTGCACTTTCTGTAAATAAATCTAATCTCAGCACTCATGTTACCATAACAACTTTATAAGCCAGCTCCACCAGTTTGGATCAGAAGCCAACTGTACTCCCCCCCCCCAACAAGGATCAGACAGCTTAATAGCTTGAAACTATAGTTACCGTATTTTTCGCTCTATAGGACGCACTTTTTCCCCTCCAAAAACTAAGGGGAAATGTGTGTGCGTCCTATTGAGCGAATGCAGGCTCCTTGGCTTCAGCGATAGCAACGTGAAGCCTCCGAAGCGCAGAGGGAGAGCTCCCCCCGCACTCCGGAGGCTTTGCGTTGCTTTCACTGAAGCCGCCTGAAGCCCCCGGAGCGCAGCGGAAACTCCCGCTGCGCTCCAGGGGCTTCAGGTGGCTATCCGCAAGCCTTCGGAGCGCAGCAGGAGTTCCCGCTGCGCTCCGAAGGCTTGCGGATAGCCGCCTGAAGCCTGGAGAGCGAGAGGGGTTGGTGCACACCGGTCCCTCTTGCTCTCCAGGCTTCGCTTCGCTGGAGAGGCACTGCACAGTCTTCCCTCTCTGCGCAGCGCCCCTTCAGTGAAGCGGGAGGAGAAATGGAAGGGGCTCAGTTTCTCCTACCGCTTCGCTGAAGGGGCGCTGGGCAGAGAGGGGGAGAGTTTATTTCCCCTGTTCTCCCCCTCCTATGGTCCAGTGTGTCCTATAGAATGAAAAATACAGTATCTGAAAAGCAAGTGCATGAGAACTGGGTAAAGAACCATTTAATATCCCTGTGTTATTTCATATGCTTTCAAGCTTGGGAAAGGCATGTCTTAATGGCACCATGTTTGTTTAGTCATCTCCGACTCTTTGTGACCCCATGGACCAGAGGACGCCAGGCACTCCTGTCTTCCACTGCCTCCCACAGTTTCGTCAGACTCATGTTTGTAGTTTCGAGAACACTGTCCAACCATCTCGCCCTCTGTCGTCCCCTTCTCCTTGTGCCCTCAATCTTTCGCAACATCAGGGTCTTTCCAGGGAGTCTTCTCTTCTCATGAGGTGGCCAAAGTATTGGAGCCTCAGCTTCACAATCTGTCCTTCCAGTGAGCACTCAGGGCTGATTTCCTTCAGAATGGATAGGTTTGATCTTCTTGCAGTCCATGGGACTCTCAAGAGTCTCCTCCAGCACCAGAATTCAAAAGCATCAATTCTTCGGCAATCAGCCTTCTTTATGGTCCAGCTCTCACTTCCACACATCACTTATGGCACCATAAAGACTTACAAATCTTTTGTGGCAAAAGCTTTCGTGGACCAGAGCCCACCATTAGGTGTGTGACATGTTATCCCTAGTTGGATGCTTGCAGATGCACTTATGAGAATAGAGGTGGGAAATGTTTTCTTCTCCGTGTGCCCTCAGAAGGCCACTCAAAGGAGATGCAGAGGTATCTGCATAAGAATGGGCTTTCTTTAGTGGAGCCCTTCACCCTGTCTGTGGCATGCTCTCTCCAGGGAGAAGCACCTGGTGCCATCCTAAGACCTTTTTGCTTACTCAGGCTTCCGGTCATTAGGCTAACTCCTATGGTGGTACCCATCTTTCTGTGGGGTAGGAAGGACATGTTCTTATTAATGTCACTAGATCAGCATTTTATGTACAGTGGTACCTCGGATTAAGTACTTAATTCATTCTGGAGGTCCGTACTTAACCTGAAACTGTTCTTAACCTGAGGCACCACTTTAGCTAATGGGGCCTCCCGCTGCCACCAGAGCACAATTTCTGTTCTCATCCTGAAGCAAAGTTCTTAACGTGAAGCAATATTTCTGGGTTAGCGGAGTCTGTAACCTGAAGCGTATGTAACCTGAAGCGTATGTACGGTAACCCGAGGTACCACTGTATTTTGCATTGTTCATTGCTTTAATTTTTTTCTGGTTTTAAATTGCTTTTATTTGTTGCATGTTATCTTGTCAAGTCACTTTGAGACTTTTTTTTGGTACAAAGTGACTGATAACCGTAATAAATCAGTGTCATCATCATATGGCCAAATGACAATGGAATTCAAGAGGCATGCATATGTTTAAAATTTAAATGTATAAGATATTATCAGAGCCAATTGAACTGCTTGACAACTTGTCTGTATACCAGGACTCTCAGTTGGTTTTGCTGCAACAGGCAACAGAGCAAATCCTCTGTTTTGTATCTTAAACTGAAAATATTTTTGTGGCTAACAATTCCTGCAATAGTAAGCTAGCTGATACTTCGAGAGCAGCCTTCCTCCACCTGATGTCTAATGTTCCTTTTGTATTGCAGTAAGTTGTTGTGTTATGGAATTTGGCCATGTTCTGCTAAATTTTAAATGGCAGGAAAAACTGTATGCCAATATTCTGACCCAAATTTAATCAATGCAACATTCCAGCATTTTTCTGAGCCAATGGGGTTGCCATTGGATTTTTGTCTAGTAACAGTTAGCACAGAAATGAGCAATGCACATTCACTAGATGCCAGTAGATTCCCAGAGGCGGCTTTTATTTGTCTGAAAAATCATGTGAAATGTGTATATGAACAGGTAAGGAAACATTGTGAAGATGGAATAAAATGCCATCTGAACACAGACACACACACACCACAGATACAACACATTATTTTGTTACGAGGCCCTATTTGTTTGTTTTTATGTTTTTTTAACAGATGGGCCACTGAGAATATTGCCTTTCCATATATATATATACTATATGCCACGGCGTTTCTCCTTTTCTAGGACTGAATTCAGATCTTCTACATTCAAGCATAGTACTCTTTCGCTATTAAAGTTCTGCCCAATGTAGGTTTTGCCTCCAAGAACCGAATCAGAAAATGTAAATTTTGTACTGACACACTTCTATTTATGCCGAAAACCTATGTAATGTAACAATCAAGGAGTAGTCAGATAACCTTCACGCAACTTTGTTATCACTGTCAGGATCAATAACAGCCCACATCTCTGTCACCTGTTAGTCTCTTTCTGCAATTCCTGGTGGTGCAAGAATCAGGCCCTAACCACACAGTCACACCCTGAAAGACCAATGGCATTTAAAATGTCATCAGGCTGGTTTGTACAAGTTTCCTTTATCATCTGACAACTGTAACACCAAATGTGAACTTCTATGTATACTATTAATTTCTTCACCAAAACTGAACGATCACTTAAACATGTTGATGGGCAGCACCGATATATCCAACAGAATTATAAATTGCTGTCATACCAAGTACAATGTCTTGAATGGGGAAAAAATGCTTTGGCAAAAACAGAAAACACATCTGCTCACACAAGGCTGGCTTCCCTATTTTCAACAATCCACCTGCCTACTGCTGCCTCCGCACCACTTTGCATAATGTATCAGAGGATCTCCCCCTCCTGCAACATCAACTTTTTAGTGGGTGCTATGGCTCAAGGGGCTTAGTGTAAATTTGGAGGCTCCAACTATTGGGGATGGAAACACACTTTACTTGCAGAAGAATACCTCTGGATACAAGCCACCCTGTCTGCATAATGTAAGGCCCTTTTCAACAGAGCTGTTGCTTTTCTATGAAATCAGTTCACACCACGGGAAAGTCAGAGGACTAAGGAGTGATATGGTAATAACAATGACATGTGATCTTTTACTCAGAATGTACTTCAACTGTTCTGCAGTCACACGGCAACTGGTAACTGGAGCAGAGTTATATCTAGCAGTGAAAGAGGAAGGAAGCTCCCTTCCTTGATTCAAGCAATAGATAGGGCAAAGCCTGTCTTCTCCATCCTGTGGTGTGAACTGATTTCATAGAAACAGCTGCGTTGAAAAGGGCCTCACATTATGCAGTTATAGTGGCTTGTATCCAGAGGTACTTTTCTGCAAGTGAAATGCTGAACAACCCCTTGCCCTTCAACTTGAGCATCTACATTGCTATGTTACATGTGAGGAGACCAGGTTGGCTGCTACAGGCAAAATAGACTAAAAACATTTTCTTTATTATTTTCCTGAAGCAACATTTTGTTGCTTCCATTTGTCTTCTTACTGTCTTTTATTCTTAATAAGCTTCATAAAATTGGTCTTGGGTGCATTTGTACCAGCCTCAAAGGGTTATTTTAATCCTTTGTGTGCCTAGACTATTTGGGAGCCATTTTGGGATTGGGGAAAGCCAAGGTAAACTATATGTTCTCTGGTCTCCAAAGTATGTACCTTGAATCCCCAGAAATCACTCCCATCTAGGGGTGAGAGAGAACCTAAGGAAGTTTAGTAACAGCTTGCCTAATAGCCTCTTGTATGACTGGTAGGCATGGAAAGAAAAGAAGAAAAAGTCATTTATCCCCTCCTGCTACATTTCGTACATCATTTCTAAGGGCTTCATATGGAAAAGTGCTAGCATGAGAATCATAGACTATTCTTGCGTAACTTCAGAGTAGACATCAAATGTTATTCAGTCAAATCTACATCCAACTGGGGTGGATGTAGATGTATAATAGAAGTCTTAATTTTGCAGCATCTTTTCTCTCTTTCCTACTCCCAAACCACACGGAGCTTCTTTCCTTTTGCTTCCCACCCTGCACAATATGTGTATCTTCCATCTTGCAGAGATCTGTTTCCTCTCATTGGCTTGTTTTCCTTTATATTATTAGCGCTCAGCTTTTTCCCCCGGCACAAAACTCTACCAGTACTCCCATCCCTTATTCGGCACTTCAAGCATCTTCAACAATTGCCTCTCACTTATTTGCTTTGTCACGAAAGGTGCGTCTTTCTTTCTTTCTTTGCATCTTAAGCCACCTTTTCCCACCTGCAAGAAGGGCTTCCATCCCATGGATTGTCGAGGGACCAGCGTGGCTTCCTGATGGATGTCTTCATGAGGGCAAAACCAAAACAAAACCACTCTGCACATGCTCAAAGGCTCTGCTGTCGCTTGCAGCTGGTTCATTCCAGCACATAATATCGTATATAGAACAAATGACCTAAGTAAATTTATGCCATCATTTTGCTTTAATACAGGCTCCTGAGAATAGCTGTCAACGTTTCCATTTTTTTTTTAAGGGAAATTCCCTTATTCCGAATAGGATTCCTCGCAAGAAAAGGGAAAAGTTGACAGCTACGCGCCTTAGGCCACCCGCCCTCACCCCCATTTCGCCTTCTGCCAGGACCAGCCACCGCATCCTCCCTCCTCCTCCTCCCTGCGGGCCCCGCCCCCTCCGGCGGCCGTCACGTGCGAGCATCCGTGCGCAAAACACCGTCCGCCCCCCTGCGACGGGCACCGGGAGCGGCCAATCCTCGTCGCCCGCTTCTCCCTCTCCGCCTATGCGTGGGCGCGTTCTCCGCCCGGGGCGGGATTTCCGCCGCTGCTTCGTCTGAGGGGTCGAGAGAGAGAGGGGTCTTTAGACTATGGATTCCGCCTGAAGCTCTTCTCTCGCTGGGCAAACCCCGCTCGCCCCTCGCCGGCTTCTGCCTCCGGATTCCGGGTAAGCGAGAGGCGGGCGTCGCCGCCGCCACTGCCGGGCTGAGAGGAAGCGGGCGCCGGAGGCTCGGGGCTCTGCCGGCTCCGGCGTCTGCTGCGCGGGGTCGTTCGGAGAGCCCAACGGACCCTCTCGCCCTTCACGGGCCTTTGCCGCCTCTTTCCCCCCCTCACCTACCTGATCCACCGAGAGCCCGCTTTCGCGAGGGGGGGGAAAAGAAACGCGTCATACGCGCACGTCTGAATGGGGCGAAGGGCGGGCGCGTGTTGACAACCCAGGAATCGGGAGGAGCCAAGTTGGCAAGTTGCACTTCACTTTTTAAGGCCTTACTTTCAACTTCTCGTTTCCCTCCTCTTCTTTTTTTTTTGCGCTTTGGGTCGAAACTCGCGCAACGCAGCGTCGGGTTTCGAGACGCTCGTCTGCGCAAAAGAGCGTCTGATGCGCCGGCCTTAAAATCGCTCCCCTTGTTTAACGCGGCCCCGTGCCAGGTATGTAAAGGTGTGCTGCATTTGCCTTGGTTCTTATCCTGGGGTGGAACTGGGCTCGCGGTGGCGGCTTGTGGTTTAGTCAGCTGGGTTTTGTGATGTAGCCGGTGCTTGTGATGACACGACTTAGGTTTTTCAGAGCCTCTGTTGGGGTTGAGCTGGAGGCGCAGGGATGTATATATCCTGCACGCTCTCCTCTTAGTCGTTGCTAAATGGGGGAGCAGACATGGGGTAGCCGCTGCTTGCGCGGCACTCAGCTGTGCGAGTCCCGTTTGCTGCCGGGTTCTGTGCTTTGGTCGTACTGAATCATGAAGTGGGTTAGAAATTCAATATGGGTCTCTTCCTCCTCCTCCTGTAAATGTCATTTGTTTCCAGCATGCTGGGTAGGTGTACCCCCCAAATCTCACCCACATGGCCTGATTCTAGTGCTAGTGACCTAAGCCGGCATTGTATATGTATGAGTGTCCGTGCTCAAGGCTGGGGTGTGTTCCACAATTGTGTAATACTTTGTGAGGCTTCCCTTGATGATTTCAAGGAACATTAGGTAGCATTGAGTGCATCCAAATTGATGTGCAGCCTAATAGATGATGGGATTATACTGCAGTGTTTACCTTCACATCCTGTTATCTGCTAGAGATAGGTCATAAATGGCTTGGGACCAATTTGTGAGGGCTTTTCCTTCCTCTATGTAGCCAAGAATGCCCTATTTGGACAGCAAGGATATGCGGGGAAGCGTTTTAAAGTGACTGCTCTGCAACTATCAAGCTTCCTGGAAATCTGGTAAAAGCTGAGCATGCCTTTACAAGTGTGTTGTAGGCTTACTTGGGTAGGTAGTTTTACAATTGCACTAAGACATTGGGCCTTACCATTTATTAATGTGCTGGCTGTACTGGGACAAGTTGACTTCTAATTTTGTCACTTGTCCTGAGCTTTTGCTGTTTAGCAGCTAAGACTGCACCCTGGAAGCAGTTCCCATTCTACTCAGCATTGCATTGTAATTTTGCTACTAAAAACCTCTATTTAATATACTTATTGTTTGGGTGCTTCCTGCACCTGCCTGTACTATTATGGTAGTAGCAGATAGTAGCTGTGAGATGTTACAACCAATAATATATTGGCTGCTTATACTGGTAGTGATTGCACCAACCTCTCCCTTTCCCAGGTCATTGGATAAATTTAAGAGCCTTATTTGTGATGTTATTGTGATGTTATGATTATCTTAAACACAGGGATCCCACTATGTGGCCACTGAAGGCTATATCTATAGCTGCTTTTGTTTCTGTGCTGTAGCAGATAGCTGCTGGCACAGCAGATTTTTCTGTTCAATTTGAAATTTGTTGGTGGCACTGATATAGCTGAAACAGTCATTGTGATGGCATATCCTAAAAACATTATTTGATTGTGCAGCTTGAGAATAGGCTTTAAAAAACATTCATTGATAAAGTGTCTAAAGTTTACTTAAATGCTGCACACAGGCCTGCAGTATCGGAGATAACACATGTGGTAAAGATATGGTGAGGGAAGATGAAAGCAAGGAAACACTGGTGCTATCTCTTGGAAGAGTCAAAAGGCAGCCTGAGCCATTGAGTGGGCCCTGCTGTTCTGTTTTTCTAATTCCCAAATGGTAATTGCCATGATAAGAACTCAAAGCCTTGAAGAAATCATCTGCTGAATATCAGACTTCAGCTGTCCCCCAGTAGAAGGGACTTGTTCAAGATAATTAAGAAATCACCGTGGTAAGAATATAATCAGAATAATTTTGAATTCTCTTCTTAGTTTAGAAAATAAATTACAGAATTTGTAAGCAATAGAATAGGATTCAAAACCTGTTTGAATTCTTTTTTAAAAAAATACTAGAATTATGCTAGGTATAGTAGACATAGGATAGTTGGACTATATTACCCTTGTGGTCCCTTCCAACTCTACAATTCAGATTCTATGCAGTGCTAGAAATTAGCCAGGCGTGTTTTGCTCTTGGCATGGGTCAAATTGCGACCATGTGGAGATCTCTGGATGCCAGGTTGGTGGCTGGGAAAAGAATAATGTCACGTAGAGAAGGATCTGAAATATTTCCCTTAAAGCTTGAAATTGTTTTATTCTGGATTATTTTATTTGTCGTTTTAATGTGTTGTAAACTGCTTTGAGATTTGTTCTTTAAAATATAAAGCAGTATAGAAACGACATGAAGAATGATGATGATAAATCCCATTGGGGGGAACCTCTGGTACCTAAACATTCCATTGTGTCTACTGGAACCCAGGTTTAAGGGGCAATTTGGTGATTAGATTATATATCTGAGTTTCTAACATCTGAGATGTTATGTATTGGTCTCTTTGGTGTTATCTGTTCTTTTCATTTCATTTCATCTCATTTCATTTTCAGAAAGGCAGGATGTTAACTGTTATAATAAACAACAGTAGACTACATCTGTTTCTAACGAAATGGGCTCATATTAGTCTCACTGCATCCTTTCTTTTCTAAAGAATGAATTATATAGACCTTCCCAATCACCTGGCATTGCTGTTAGTTAGATGGAAATGTGATACTGAGAAGATACTTTGATTTTTATTTGCATTTAATGCACTTTAGAATTCAGAGAGCACTGAGGGACGTGCTTGGTAGACTGCTGTTAGTTTAACACACTGCTGATCAACTTGTATTGTCTGATAAAGCAGTCAGTATATTTGCATATGGATTATGTCTGTGTAAATGGTGAAGAAGCCACAGGTCTCTCATACAGTAGGTCAGCTGTTCAGTATCACTTTGTTTTCAACTAAATCTGTCAGAGCAAAAATAAAGAAGTTCTGGACATGCTCTTTTCATACTTTCCAGATAAAACTTCCTCTATTAGATAAGTAGTATAGCTGATGTGTTTCTCAAAACATAAGCTTAAGTGTTATTTCTACTGTTAAATGTGTATTGGGTGACTAGCTCCTCCTCCTCATGTGTTAATGGAACATTGACCAAACCAAGGAAGATCCCTGCTCAGCTATGATCTAATTTGTTTAAGGCACTTGGGTCTCAGGGAGTTGGTCAACAGCTTGAGAGGATTATCACTTGCTAGAAGAGCAGGGAATTCCAATCTGGAAAAGCACCCTGTGGGAGACTGTGAAGAATAAAAAGACAAAATCTGAGAAACAGATTAAAGCTCACCCATCAGATGCACAGGAAGAGAGAAGGTTTCTGGGACAGCTGTCAGGCACTTGAGAATAAGATTGGATCTTTTATTCAACTACATAACTTCTAAAATGAGAAATGTCTCTATACTGGGCTTGTGAGTCAACTGATCTTCTGACTTGGCAGATTGAAGCTACAAGTTTTCTAGCTAGAGCTCCAAGCTGCATTGGAGCAGTTTGGGTGTATATATTGCCTGAAGCAAGGATTCAAGGCCCCTAACACTTCCATCACTCCAACAGTCCACCCTATTGCTTTGTTGCCTGTTCAGTAGGCAACCCTGAAGCAGCCTAACATGAACCAGGAGAGTATGGAATAAGGCCAGGGCATTTATCTTATATAAAAACCATTTGAAGAGGAGGTCAGTAAAGATCAATCCCTTAAAGGTATATGTAAATTGCACTAGAGGCGTGGGCAGTTCTTAGCCTCAAATATGACCCTCCATTTCTGAGTCCCCAACAGTCTGAAGACTCGTGTTCCTGTGTCACACATAATTGTTCCTTGGTAAGAACGATTCTTGGAACTCTGAGCTTTTGATAGGGTTGGGAATGACCGCTGTCTGAAACCCTTGACATCTGATTCTCGGTTGCTGTAGAGAATACTGAGTTGATGGACCAATGATCTGGCTTTGTATAAGGCAGCTTCCTGTGTTTTCACAGGTGCTCAGGGAAATTCTGAGAGCAAAATGATTAAGCTGTTTCCCTAGTTATGGTATTGAGCAGCCTGATCTTCCAGTTGCTTTCATCATGTCCTAACCTAATTTGCAGTCTTCTTGGGTTGCTCTAATTTCAGGAGCCAGTGACTTGGCTTCTGAGTGGGTATCGTGGAGCTACCTGGCCTTCTAAATGGGGTGTAGGCACAGTATCTATTTCTATTGCTTTGCCTTAGGGAAAGGTGTACTGAGAAGCAAAATACAGCACCCCTGTATTTAGGCGGCATGTAGATGCAGTTCCTGTAGCTTCACAAATTTTGCACAATGTTCCTTCCATTGGTGCACTTAAGTCTTGGGGTGGAAAAGACAGGACCAAAATACTTG